TTAAGCTCATTAATACAAAAGCAATCGAAGACTACTACTCTTGGCAAACATTTACTAATATTTGGTTGTAGTTTGTGATAACGATCTCATTTTTGCCTTGGTCTGTAGGGAAGTATACATTCAAGAAGTAAATTGACAAAAATTTATAATTATAATTTTTTTTTTTTTTTTTTTTGATAATGTCTTCCTATTGCAAAATGATTTTCTTTTTTTGCATTGGAGAATGCCATTGAACAATAACTGGATCAGATCACATTTGAACTATTGAAAAATCATTAACTATGCCATTCAAAGGAAATTTATTGGAGAATTTCTAATCATATCGTTTGGCGTATTATTAAAGTCAGTGCAAATTTGTACAGTTGCGACTAGTAAGCATGTAATGTAAAATTTAAACCCGAGCATAGGTAAAAGACACATATTCAAACAACTCATAAAAAAAGCGAGGGAAAAATTCATAAAATGTAGCGTTAAGATCGCGTTTGTAATATGATTCCCTGATGCGCACTTTGTTATACTCTTCAGTAAGAAATCTTTGGAATTTTATGTTCTCTTAAAATCCGAAAACAAGTCGTTGTGACGATGCGACAAATATACATACGAGTATTGTATTTCGTTGTCTTTGCTCATATCGTTCTTCAAAATTTTCTAAACGTATCGTATATTAATACATTCAACCCTTGTACAGTGTTCGCCAAAACTAAGCGAAAGCGAAGCGTTTGAAATGAAAAGTCATAGTTAGCTTTTAATCGTTTCAGTTAAATATTAAATCTAAATTTTTTGTGGTGATTGACAAGCATGATAAAGGTACTTTGCGTTCTGTGAATCTTGTAGAGCGGACCCATGTCATTGCAATTTCTAACGCTGATTGGTGAAAACATAAAACGGATAATCTGCTTAGAATAAAGGCAAACATTGTGATCGAACGTTTCATATTTCGAAATCTTTATCATTAGTTCATTGCCTCGCATTAACTCCCAAAATTTGGCGCAATCAATAGGTCAACCCTCACGCAATTGTAAGCATTTACTTTGCAAGATTATTGTTGTGAACGTAGGATAAGCCTTTCAGTTATATGAAGATATCAATTGATCCTAAATCGTTACACGGGTTACTAAAAGGAACAATTTGCCGACATAAAATGAATCATATGTGCCCATAATTCAAAAAAAAAAAAAAATGAGCTTATCATTTATTTCACATCACATCATTATACCCTACATTGCTTGCGGTAAAAGATATATTAACTTAATGTGGTCGTATGTAACAAGCAGTAAGGCTTAAGATGGACCCACTTTTTACTATATCGATCGATTCAGAACAAATAAGACAGTTATAGTATTCGGCGGGAACCGAATCTCGCATACCTACCACTATGCTTCTCGCACTCTACTCTTCAAGTTCTTTTATTTGATACCCATGTCGCTGGTACTATTAAGGAAAAGTTAGTTAATCGCCCTCTTTATAATTTTCATTTTAAAATTAATCCATTTTTAGGCAGATAATATATCTTCGAGCCGATAGCCTGTGTTGCTAGTGCTCAATGTCTTTTTTTTAGTCTAAAAATTCAATTCATTAGTCTAAATTAAAATAATAATAATAATATTAATAATAATATATCTTCACTTAAGAAGATCTTGTTTGTCTTGTGATAAGTAAGCATAGAACCTCAAAGAAGTGAAAAAAAAGAAGAAAATTGAATCACTTGTAACTTTGTGTGGGCATGGTGGATGTTTTCAATTTTTGCACGTAAGGAGCGAAGTGCTTCGCAAAGTCAATGCGGAAATTTTTAGCCTTCTAACTTTTATAATTTCCGAGAAACGAGCAAAAATCGAAAAACTTTTGTTAAAAAATGGAAATTGCGTTCAATTCACGCTCCATTGCGCGTTTCCGCTCCGACCGATTTGGCCCATTTTTATTACCAACCTGCATGCAGAAATTTTCAATGTTTCTACCAAATTTGGAGTTGATACCTGCATTTTTGCGATCAGGGGAGTGGCAACCACATACACCACACAGACGGACGGACATGGCTAAATCAACTCAGAATTTCACGCTAAATCAAGAATATATATACTTTATATGGTCTCTGAAGCTTCCTTTTGAGTGTTACATATATTATGGAAAAAAAGCACAATGAGTACACCCCCTTCTTATAGTGGTGGGTATGAAAGTACATTACAAGAAGAATGGAGTAAGATTCCTGTCAATATGTCAAAATGTTTAAATGACGTTGTTAAGCAAAAAGATATACTACATTAAATAGAAATTTTTAATGATATGCTGTTTTGTTTCTTGTCTACTGGAATAATGTTTTGTTCGTTTGCCTGCTTGCTCCATAGTAACACACATTTTCATGTTTGGACAATGGATTAGTTTTAACAGAGGTTTATTTCTTTTGCGCGAAAAATGCCAATATTAATGAAACTCACTGTATTTGGTGTGCATGTGGATGTGTTTTTTAACATGATGTACCAAACAACTGCCTCGAGTTGACGGCAGTAGTTTTGCTTAGTTTGTGTGACTTGTGATAGCATAGGCAAACGTATTACAAACTAGTCGTACAGTGTCTCTTACTTCTTCCAACATCTGATTATACAGGTTGCACGCATAATTCCTTCTATTTAAACCAAGTCAGCCGACTGGTATGTACGCATATAAGCACGGTTTTCCACCTTGAGGTAGGCGCCATAAATAAATGGTTAAATTCCCTGTTGATAGGCAAAGCACAGAGTCGCTTTTAATAAATAAATGGTTAAGTGCCCAACTCAACAAAAATGTTAACGCCAAGCAGCTAATGTTAAAGGCCCAACTTAACAGATCAAAGATAATCGATTCTGTTAAATAACAGATCAAATATAATCGATTCTGTTAAATAACAGATCGAACATAATCGATTCTGTTAAATAACAGATCAAAGGGGGACATGCAAAGCCGTCGGTAAAACAAAGATTTAAAAATGTGTGGTTGTATAATATATATAAGTGATTAAAATCTCAACTTCGTAAACCTACTCCCCCATTCATAATCATCAGTCATGAAAGCGTTGAAGTGAACTCGATTTCTATGTTTAATTTGCATAATAAAGAGCAGGTTTTATAAGAACTTTTGTGAAAATCACCAGCATTTACGTCTGTACAACAATCGAAAAACAAATCCATTAAAGTAGTCTTTCCTCCGCCCACGTTACCCCAAATCCCTGAGGCGAGGTTTTGTTAACTAACTGCACCGAGCCACCATTCGTTTTCACATAAAATGTACGTTAGGTTCTTGTTGAAGTCTATAGAAATTTGCCTACTATTTATTGACGGATCCGGATGGTACGCAAGTAAATTTCGAATTAAGAGATAGAGAATTTAGAATATTATTAAAAAGAATATTCATTAAAAACTTAATAGTGAACAAGTAAGAACATTGGAGTCGGGCACGGCCCTGTCGAAAATACCCTACACCACATTGTCTAGCACAATTCTTATTTGTATACGCACTTATTATTGTAGACAAATTTTCATTATCACTTCATCACCTCGACTTTTCTGCTCTGCAAATTTTCGTGAAAATCCTTATTAGGGTAGAATCCAAAAAATATGCCGAGATGGTCGTAATTTGATACAGTTAATTGTACTGCATTAAATTAATATTAATATTCTGATATAATTTTCATCATGAAGCATTGAAATTTAGACATTTTTGTGGTATGGGGTTCAGTTTTCGTTATAGGAGAGGCCCGGTTTAATATTTTCACACCAATTAAGTATGCCGAAATACTACTGCTTAGCCATGTTTGTTGAGAAATTTTGAAAATTGCAATTTTTTGGAACGGTCACAAAAGCGGACCGAGCCGAACTGTTTTCCACAGCGTTCGTCCTCCCGAAACACATCACGTACGTAATTTCATCGAAATATCGCAAAAATTGCGACCATTAGTTTGAAGAGAAATTTACATTGACGGACTTCAGAGGACAGGCGGACAGACAGGCTTAGATCAATTCAGATAATGATTCTGAATCGATCGGTATAGTAAAAAGTGGGTCCATCTTAAGTCCTTCTGCGTGTTACATACGATTGGTACTAATTAACGTATCCTGTACTGTGTGGGGTAAAAAGTAGCAAAGAAAAGCAAAAATGTTGTATTTTGATTACAGTGATTTCTGCATAATAGTGATTAATATAAATTTTATGCAGTGTGCAGTTAGAGTTAATAAAATTTGCGGGATTCATCGCGTAAACTGGAGTTGCGGATACTGCAACTAGAACGTGAAAAACATGTCTGGGAATGGAAAGAACGAACTTTGTTTAGAAGGAGTATGTAATACTGTTTTATTACAGAGACGGAACGGGAGGCAAAAGGCTTTAATTTTAAGTATTTCGCCTAAAGCTATACTCCATTTATTTCTACCGTAAAATACACAAAATTAGATCTTCTCATCATATAAACATTTACTTGTCAGGCGATTCTGACCTTCTCACCTGTGTGGCACACTTATATGCCAGATTTCTATTTTGGCCGTATTGCATAAGATTAAATCGATTCAAAAAATGATTCCCAGTCGATCGATACAACGATAGGTGACTTCTCCATGCCCTGAGTCCACTCAGATTTTATATACGTTGTTTTACAAGTGGGGCACTTGTTACTAACTTAACAAAAAAAAAGTGGAGCTTGACATTATTTTTGTGTTTTCCTAGGTCGGTTTCAAATCTAAAACTATCAATTACAGCGTGAAAAACTTTGATACAACAGACCATTTGGAGCGTTTAGCAAAAAACAAAAGTCTGATTGAATGTTTCGTTTTTTCGTAGACCGCCCCATGGATAGCATTCTTCCAAGCTTGTAACTTCTACCACAAATAATAACTTGCTAGCTTGTGGAAGCATTCTGGCTGAAAAGTGGGGAAAAAATTGAAATTTTAGCTAATACAGGTGAAAATTAAAACAAAAAGCATATAAGTTTAAAAATGTTTTCAAGTTGCATTTAGTTATATTTAAGAATATATGCACTCTGCGGAGACATATTAAGTTCTGCAGAACACAAAATCTCTGTAGCATCTACGCCATCACTAATAATATTTAAAAATATTTCGCGCTATATGTTGTCATCATGACTCGTAAAGTTCGATGAGTATTCTAAAATGAGTTATCAAACAAGTATTGAGGGCCATTTGTTTAAAAAATATTGAGTCTATCATGGTTAAATTTAAAATGCATCTATCACTGCTACAAGATATCATTATGAATCCACGTAGGCACCGTAATGTTCGATGACTTTTTGCCACTTCTGTGGTAACACCATAATCCCATCACTGTAAAATTTCGGTGGTTTTTGATCAAAAAATTGAGCCAAATGATTTTCACAGGCTTCCTTTGAAGCTAATTTAACACCGTTCAAGGAGCTCTGTAAAGACGGAAACAAATGATAATCTGACGGCGCCAAGTCTGGGCTATATTGTGGATGCATTAAAATTTCCCAGCCATTTTCTCCCAATTTCTGACGACTTGCTAAACATATATATGGTCTGTGGTACACTACTACACTGTTTACGAGTTCCGGTCGTTTTTTTTGTATTGCTATATACAAGCGCTCCAATTGTCGACAAAGCAGGTCAGAATCGATTGTTGTACCTGGCGACAGTAGTTCATAGTGCACGACGCCTTTCCAGTCCCACCAAACGCACAACATAACCTTCCTAGCTGTAGGCGCGGGATTCTCCATGGCCGGTGGAGCTTCTTCTCGCTTCGACCATGATCTTTTTCTTGCATTGTCGTAGGTTATCCACTTTTCATCACTAGTTATTAAACGTTGAAGGAATGGCTCGAGTTCATTGCGTTTCAGTAGATATTCACAAATTGAAATGCGGTCAATTAAATTTTTTTGAGTCAAGTCTGGCGGTACCCACACATCAAGTTTTTTTTTGTAACCAGCTTTTTCCAGGTGGTTGAGTACTGTTTGGTGATTGATGTTTAAGTCTCTGGCAATGTCATGACTGCTTACATGACGGTCTTGCTCGACTTTTGCCAATATTTCATTCACTTTTTCCGTAATTGGCCGTCCACTTCGGGGAGCGTCTTGAACGTCTAAGTTTCCCGACCGAAAACGGCTGAACCACCGTTTGGCTGTTGCTTTTGATAACGTATCTTGCCCATAAAGAGCACATATTTCTTCGCGAGCCTGTGCAGCACTTGTACCTTTGTCGAAATAGAATTGCAAAATGTAGCGCAGTTTTGCCGACAGTTCACTCATCTCCTGAGCAATATATTTTCTATATATATTAAATTTTTAATTTACGATCTCCGGTCTCGGATCGGATATTTAAGCGCCGATTTGTGTTATCTGTTGTTTATGTAAATATTATAGTATTGCCAAATTTAAAGTTTTATAGCCTGTATTAAATACATTACAAATTAGTTCGCTTTTAAGAGGAAAGAAAGCCTATCTTATCACTTATAAAAAGGGAAAACTTTTTATGAATAAAGCAAGTAAAACCTGCGAAAATATTAAACTTAACTAAGGCAACAAATCAAAAAGTCATATAACTAAAAAAGTATGTGTGGCAACTTCATGCTCAAAAAATGTTTCAAAGCTCACAGTTTATGTATCTATTACTCCACCTTTGCATTTATAACCGAACATCTTTTTTCATTAGCGGCAGTAGCTTTTTCCTGAGAATTCTATCATAGTGCAAGAAATTAGAAATTTTCAACTGCATTTAACAAAATACAAAAAAAAAAGAAATGGGCGTACAAATAGTTCCAATTTCAGCTGGTGATGGTAAGTAACATTTTATATTAATTACTTATTGGTAAGTTATATATTATAAGATGAATTAAATAAACAAGTGTAAATAATTGCTCAGCATCTAACCTAACTTTTCCATTTTCCATTTGTAGGTAGTACTTACCCAAAAAATGGCCAAGTAGTTTCTGTGCATTATACTGGCACTTTAGATGATGGCACAAAGTTTGATTCATCTCGAGATCGTAATAAACCATTCCGTTTTACTATTGGAAAAGGAGAAGTAATACGCGGTTGGGATGAAGGCGTAGCTCAGTTGTCGGTGGGTCAACGTGCTAAATTAATCTGCTCACCTGATTATGCGTATGGTTCTCGCGGTCATCCGGGTGTGATTCCTCCAAATTCTACCCTAACCTTTGATGTTGAATTGCTCAAGGTCGAATAAAAAGCCGAAGCTGTAGTGATAAAGCGATGAAGATGTAAGAAAGAGTGAATTTAACTTTCATTATATAAAATTCTTACCATTAAAAAAATAGTTGTATCGATATACCTTAAGCATACGAAATGGAAATATATACACATACATTATAAAGATATTCCCCACACTATTCCTCCTCCCCTAAACATTTTTCTGATTCGGAATATATATTTTTCTTTGCATTTATTTACAAGCAAAACAAAAGAAAAAATTAGAAATCTCTGAGCAAATTTAAACACAAATTTATCAAAAAGTTTTTTATATCTGGTTCTTTTTATCATATATACTGTTTAAAGGATTGATCTAATATTTAAATAATTAAATTATGAAGTGTAAAACTATTTACTATAAAAGCAAATTGAAGTAAAATTAAGGCTATTAGAAATATTCCTTTCAGAAATATAAATGGATTAAAATATCCAATGAATTGTTCCACTTTGCAATGTTTTATTATACGATAACGTGGAGAAGAGGGATTTCATACATTTCATCAAAAACCCAAAACAATAGTCTTGTTGTATTCATTAAGCTCACGTGTGAAATCTTTTAAAAGTAGGTATACAACCACATAGTTATGTATAGCATCAGCTGGTTTGACGATTTAAATAAAAATTGTTGCCACTTTTTTCATTTTAAACACATATTTCGTGCGGAACGAGTCATCAAATTCATAAAAACAAAAATATTTAAGTCAAACTTGGTTGTAATTAAAGTGAACACCTCCCACCAGCAATGCCTTGTATAACGGATGCCCCAGCGGAAGTTGATGTAGCTCTTCAACTGCTAAATATGAGTGCTCCGACTTTGCCTGTCACAACATTTTCACCGACACGTGAAACCACCCAAAATGACGAAATCAATAAACATTTATTGAAAACATTTTTGGAGTACATTAACACAGAAAATGTTTTAACACCATTTTCCGTTTACAGTTCGCATAAGCAAGATCAGGAAACAGATGATTTTGATGATTAATAAAAAAAAAATGTATTTGGTATCTAAATACGTCTTCTTTTATTGTTTTGCGTCGGTGGTGGTGTGGTTGAGGGACTATTAGATTCCAATGATGCAGAACCTCGCGTACGTTTCGGAAGGCGTTTCGGAACATCTATTAATTTTGAAGTAATTTTTTTATCCAAATCCTTAATCGTTTGGTGACCTCCGCTTGATAGGGACGAAGTTTTACTAAATAAGTAGCTTTGATTTTTATCTGAAAGATATGCAACGAAATCATTAAAGATTTTTTTATTTACTTTTAAATATTTACCCCTGGTAGTGGTGTTGTCGGTTGCCACAGCTATAATCGATGGCGGCCCGTCCGAACTTTGTCGTCTTTCTTCACTAGATGCTGCTTTTTTGGACATAAACACCCCAAACTCCACTTCCGGCAATGAAAATTCTTTCTGTTCATTAGGAAAAGGTACCTGTTCATGTAACTGTAAGACATCTAAATTATACATCGACTTCAAGTGTGTCCATATATGCTCCCCGAGAAAATCACGGTTTAAACTGCGCGACAAACGCTCAGCAACGCAGGCCACATAAAAATGTCGATTAACTCCAACCGGTTTCATCCCGGACAAAGCATAAAATAACTGTATCTCTTCCTCTGGCGTCCATTCATGGTCTGTAGTCTTTTCTTTTGATGTTTGCATTTTTTATAATTCTCAGACAGTTATTACATTTGTTGTTTACGTTTGTGCGTTTTTGCTGCACTATTCCAATTTCCACGTTGATGCTCTCATCTGCATGACTTTCGTACATTGGCTTTTCATTTTTTATTATCAATCTCGATTTCCGCTACGCACACGCAAGATAATTTGTAATTTTTTTAAATAAGCAAAAAAATTAGATAAATTATTATTTTAAAAGAGTATTTGGTAAAATAGTATGTTTACGTATTTTTTAATCTGCCAATAGCACAAAGTCAATACAATAACAATGGGGGAGGTAAGTTATAAATTATTTTAAATTAATTTACTTAAAATAATGTTTTTATTAATTTTTTTAGCTTGCTAGCATCGGCGATGACAGAAAATAGGATAATGTCAAAAACAATAATCTGACAACAGCATTTTTCGCAAGTAAATAGTAGTACAAAAATCGAGTAAGACAAATTTAGAGGAAATAAGGGTAACTTAGTTTCATTAGTTCCAAGATTATCCTCTGTAAAAATAACTATGTTTAAGCAGAAGGACCACAATTTTGTAAGTATTTGGGTTTTCGATAAATTTTAGAAATGAATGACTAGTTTTTCATTTGTCAATTGATTGATATTATTCAGCAGACATCTAAATACCATTAGATAGACATGAAATCAGTGGGCATTGATTATCCACGTTTTGGATGACTAGGTCTCCTTCGGAAGGTGTAGCTTGAAGGCAATTTGGTTGAGAGTTATGTATGGAGTTCGTCACTCGAAGTTCATTTTGAAAGAAATAAGGCAAAAATAAGGGGAAAATTTGACGTTTGTTTGTTTACAATGTTACAATCAATAACACAATCGTACAAACATTTTTACAAAACATCTTAAAGTGGATTTATTCTTTTCGACTTTTTATTCAATGCAAATAAATTTGAAACTGCGAAAGATTTGCCGTTTTACATTTCCCCACTTATTCGCCTCAATTGGGAGACCAGTAGCGAAACGTCGACACCATTGTCAAGATAAGATGGCTTAATGGAAGCTTACTTCCATAATTTTCACCTGATCGCAAACTTTACTAATGAAATATTAATATGTACATAGGCAAAACCATATGTGTATGTAGATTTATTCCATTCCGGCTGTGCTTCCGTTTATGAAACATTCTTCATTTTTTGCGAGCCCACCAGAATAAATGTGGATTTCATCCACTCATCCGATTACGTCAATACATTTTAGAAATATTTCAATTATCATTTATTGTACAAAAGCCTGTCACAAGAACACACAAACAGAAGTTACTTACCACCACGAATATCAAATTTAAATTTCTTATTTTGGTACAGCTGTTTGTAAGTAGACAATTTTATTTTCATTTCATTTTATTTTTAATTTACAGCTGTTTTATTTTATAAATGCAACTCTAAACAACCAACACTAAGCGTGAGCAATTTTGCTTACGCCGGCTTTGGCACGTTTCTAGCACCTCTTCTGCATACATATAGCTAAAAAAGTCGAAACTCGACAATGAAATCTAGTTATAATTAGTGCCCATTTTATTTTCATAGAAACTAAAGAAACTCTAAATGTATATAATAAATATAAATTGGATAATATATAGTAAATATATGTATATAATAAATATGAATTGATTTTGGATAGCGTTTTACAGCCCTAAGCATAAAGCGTAGTTAATTTTCTAAGAAAAAGTAATAATTTACGTAAAGACATGTATAGTTTCCTCTAGTTTTTTATCCTACCGTATTTTGCTCAACATTTTCAATTTTTTGTTTTTAGATTTTCAATGTTAGAATTTTTAAATGTTCTATGAATGACAAAATAAATCAAAATAGCTGGAAAAGAAGAAAGAAAATCATATACCTAAAATAATAATAAAAAGAACCAAAGCGATTAGTTAATAAGCTCTTTAAGTAACCCATCACGCATTACGAACTTTTTTAGCTAATGCAGCCGTTAAGTTATGTTTGGCATTTTCACATAAATGGTGATATTGACTTGAAGAGAGGTTTTATAGTAAAAATGTCTGCAAGCGACGCGCACGTGTCAGAATATTCGCCGGATGGGAAGTTATTTGCTAATATTGATGTCCAAGGTATCCTGCGAATTTTCGATACGGATACTAGTGAATTAAAACAAGAGTATACACCAAATCTCCATTTATCTGGACCATGTTCAGCTCTTTTATGGATTGTGACTTTCACGTCGGTGGAGAGAAAGGTTAGTATTTCTTGTGGTAAATGATTTGACTTTGAAATTGAATTTGTCTTGTTAAAATTAAGAGTAAGAAAGCACGTACATCATTAAATGGTGCGGGAGCACTGTATATTGCTTTGGGCACAACTAAGGGGCTAGTGTCACTTTATTCATATGCTGAAGCCAAGGTAAGTAAAACGGGAGTAGCAGCAAACCTATTAATAGCAGCATTGATTATTTCGGATAGGTCGAACGCTGTCTTAAAGGTGATGGCCACGCTGGACGTATAACTGCGTTAGAACAAGGCGATCTCGGTAAACTGTTTTCGTGTGGTGAAGACTGTAAAGTGATAGAATGGTCTTTGACTAGCGAAAAGCAATTATTATCTTGGTCAGTAGGACCTGAAAAACCTTCCAGCTTAGCATATATGAGTGCTTCTAAAAGTTTGGTGGTGGGATCAAGGCAAATTAAAGTGTTTTCTGTCGAGACAAGAGAACTATTGCAAACGTTCACCGGACATACCTCCGAAGTCAATTTAATGCGCAAATTTGTTTTTGAAGAAAATAAGGAATACGCAGTCACAGCTTCTCGTATGGAACGTATAACCTGTTTATGGGAAATTGGTGGACAGGGGAAGAACTGCCCACCTTTTTGCGCGTTACTTATGGAGGATGTAGCGTATTGTCTTACTTGCCAAATGGATGAAGAAAGCAACGCTCTTCAAATTGCCAGCGTCACAAGAAGTGGAGTTATACATATTTACCTAATTGAAATAAAGAGGTATTTATACCGATAAAATATTAAATAATTTTTATTAAATTTTTATTTTTTTTAGTGTTAGAGCGGAGAAGCCGATTAAACCTAAATTAACTATTAGCGTAGCATCGGATAGCACCACAGTAATAGAACCAATATCCGTTATAGCAGCAACTTTTCAACATTCTCAGCGACCTAACGAAATATTATTTAATTATGGTGATAGACATTTTATGCTTTTTGAACATTTGAAACCAAATTTTGGCGAGAAAATGCAAGTGTTGATAAGGACGAAACCAAGAAATTTAATAAAACAGATCTCTGGTACAAAAGCGAAGGGGACAGATGCTGCGCTTAAGATATTGAATCCCATTATCGATGACCGACAAGTCGACCATAAATCTTCTGTAACTTTGGGAAAAAGGAATAAGAAATCTGCAGATTTGTCCTTGGAATCGCGGCTACAAAATTTAAACTTAGATATACGAGAAAATAAAACAGCACCACAGGCTGAATGTAAAGTACATTTATTACTGCAGTCATTACATAGTAAAGATGCTGTGTAAGTTAATTCCTTCATCTTACTGTACAAATAAATCCTAATGTATTGCATTTTTTCAGATTGTTAAGAAGTGTTTTGTGCACAAATGACGTCAAAACGATACAATTAACTGTACAAAAGCTACCAACACGATACATAGGAACGTTGATTGATGAGCTGACGTTGCTCATGCATCAAAAGCACGTAAAGTAAGACGACTTTTTCCTCAAAAGATATTTACATATACAGTCACAATCGTAAAGATATAATTATGGCCAAGAGTGATGAGGATCGTATACATATATTTTATGATCCGGAGGATCTGAGATGTTCGTCCGCTCACACGTGTACTTTTTAGTGAGGTACACCCATATATTCTCTAGTGAATAATACAGCTGAAGCTTTAGAAGAATGTGAACACTTCGCTTCAAATATTTATGCTGAGCCGATATTGAATATGGCTACCATTTATAACTTTAAGGACAAAGATCTGATAAATTACGTATTGGGTCGGAGTTTCTAAGATTGGACGAAAAAAATCGAATCGAGTGTTTTGACCTACGTATGATTTTGTATCTACCCAAGTTTGTCTTACCACCCACCGTTTTATTCGTCTGTTTTTTGTTAGACCCATATCATTCGCAAAAGTTGTAACGAGAAATGCATATATATTCTTTATTGAGAATCATAGATTAGATTGTCGAAAGGCTACGGCCACTATAAACAAAAGCTTTCATAATTAAGGACAAATTGTTAACCTAAAACGTGAAAGAAATATTTACCAAAGGCTCTTTAATATTCATTTCACTCGTTTGAAGTATTTAGTTTTCAGGATACATCTCCTGCTAATCGTAACTATCTTTTATGACCAACTTATAATTATATATATTATATATGTTGGATATCTGAGACACTTCTAGAAATTTTCTTCTTTCGTTTTTTTCAGCGTAGAGTTCGCTATGAATTGGTTAAAGATTTTAGCTCAAACTCACTCGAGCCAATTGATGGCTTTAGGAGCAGAGGAATTGCTAAACAAATTTGGACCTTGTATTGGTATTATTGAGCACCGAACCAATTGTTTGAAGGAGCTGTCCAAGTAAATTGCGATCGTTTAAGTGGACACAAACAACATTAATAAAGTTTCTCTTTATGATTGCAGATTAAATGGGCGTTTGCAATTGTTGGTTAATCAACTAAAACGAGATACTGACACTGAGCCGAACGATTTTCATAGTGAAAATCTTTTGGTTTATGAAGATGATGGTAAGTATGAGCTAATTAATTTAATGTGGATTGAATGTAATTTAATGTTATGTTTGAAGACTCATCAAATTCTGAAATGGAAAATGCTGGAGGAAAGAGTGATTCCGACGACGCGTGGGAAGAGGATAATGTTGAAGAAAATAAAGGAACAATGGATCAAAATAACGATGACGATGAGAACATGGAAATGTGAACTAAGTACTGAGTTCCCGCCATCACTTAGTTCAAGTAAATATTTCATAGCAATTTTTATTCAACAAGTCTATTTACTTTTAGAATATATTTAATTTTATCAAATTGAAAATTGCGTCCATTTGTATAAAAAAAACATACTCTATCGGGCAACAATTAAAATGACCAATTGGATTTAATGAAGTTCATGAGGCCATTTGTGGATGAATCATGATGGAATATCAATTCTTTATGTGTCAATTCGGGCTCAAGCCTTTTCGCCAATTGTTTGCCCAATTCAACACCCCATTGATCAAATGAGTTTATATCCCAAATAACACCTTGTGTAAAAATTTTGTGCTCGTACAAAGCTGAGAAGCAAAATGAATTATATATTACAATTAGATCCTGCAGAGAAATTATTTCTTATACTTACCTATTAAAGCACCTAATGTGAACGGAGTAATTTGTCGTACCACTATTGAGTTAGTTGGACGATTACCTGGGAATACTTTGTGCGGTAAGAGTTTCTCCACTTCCTCTTCTGTTTTTTTCTCTTTTACCAACTCTTCGCGTGCCTCCTTTGCAGTTTTACCTATCATTAAAGCCTGAGTTTGAGCCAAAAAATTTGCTACTAAAAGCCTATGATGAAGGCCGTCCGCAATTTTGTTATGACTCTGAGCAGGAATGATAAAATCGCAAGGTATTAGGCGAGTACCTTGGTGTATTAGTTGATAAAAAGCATGTTGGCCATTCGTGCCAGGTTCGCCCCAAACAATAGGGCCGGTTTTGTAATTAACCACCTTGCCATCACTTTTAGTAATAAACTTTCCATTGCTTTCCATGTCAGCTTGTTGAAAATAAGCAGCAAAACGATGCATATACTGATCGTAAGGCAACAATGCATGGGTTTCGGCATTGTAAAAGTTAATATACCAAATACCCAACAAAGCCAAGATAACTGGAGCCTAAACAATATTGCAACATCATAATCAGATAAGCATTGGGAACGCAAATATCAGTAGGCAGTTGGCTTACGTTCTTTTCCAGCGGTTCCTCTCTAAAATGATTGTCCATAAACTGAGCCCCCATCAAGAGTTTTTCAAAGTTTTCATAACCTATGTAAAGAGAAATCGACAAGCCAATGGCAGACCACAACGAATATCGACCGCCTACCCAATCCCAAAAACCAAACATATTCGCACTATCAATACCAAACTCAATAACCTTCTCTTTGTTGGTGGATAAAGCCACAAAATGCTTGGCAATTGCTGTTTTCTGAAACAATACAAAGAGTAAAAATCCGCCCTTCCATATTTTTTCAAACGGTTACCTCGAAAGCCTGTTCCAAAAACCAGCTTTTAGCGGAATTAGCATTGGTTATGGTCTCTTGGGTGGTAAAGGTTTTCGAGGCTACTATAAATAGCGTCGTTTCGTAGTTGATTTTCTTTAGTACTTCCACCAAATGTGTGCTATCAATATTGGATACAAAATGGCAACGTAAATGTTTAGCATAATGTTTTAAGGCCTCCGTCACCATGAGCGGGCCTAAATCCGAGCCTCCTATGCCAATGTTGACGACGTCTGTAATGGATTTATTGGTACAGCCGGTCCATTCGCCTGATAAAACTCTTCTCGTAAACTCTTTCATATGCGCCAATTCCGCCATTACCTTAGGCATGACACTTTCACAGTCTACTAATATCGGCGTTTCATCCAGATTGCGTAAAGCAACGTGTAAAACCGCGCGATTTTCCGTTGTATTAATAAATTCGCCGGACATCATAGCATCGCGAGCATCAGCCACTCGTCTAACCTTCGCTAATTCCAGAAGTTTTCCCATTATCTCGTCGTTGATTAAATTTTTCGAGTAATCAATTAAAATCTCACCATCGCTCTCCGTCCTGAGCCGTATACTATATTGACAATGAAATGTAAGTTGGAATCGAGTTACGCTTCTCATTCTGATTGCAAATACATTGTCTTAATAAGAAAGTGGCTTTCATTTAATTTTGGGATGAAACTCGAAACTTGAAACCGAAATTTTCGTGTTCCAAACAGAAAGAATTTTTGAATATCTTACGTGAGCTATTATCCATATTAAGCAAAAACATGTAATATATACTTGTGATTGATTTTCTGATAAATTCAAATTTTAAACAAAACCTGGAATCACAGTATGCATGTAAATGTGCACGGGGGATTCTATGGAATGCATTATGGTGGATTCTAGTTTAGGTATCCTAAGCTGTGCGTGTAAATTTGAAAGTAGTTTACTTTGACATATATGTGTGCATGGCCACTCCACACTTAACTATATGACCTCGTCGAACCTGCAAAACTTGTAACCTTTCACTAACATTTTTATTTACTTACAAATAATACAATATAATAATTAACATCTGTCGATGTGTTTAAGATATCTATTACTGTTGCAAACTCCAAAAATTTTTACAAACCTATATTTGTTAAATCTTTCCGGATCTTTATCGAACATATTTTTCATATTAATATCTTTGCCCAGTTGATCGTACAGTGCTTGCAAGTCTTTGTATACCGGCTCTGTAGTTAATGTTTTTAAAGAACCGGCCATTTTAACTGATGAATACTTTTCAAATATGTATATTTTTTATAAGTAATAAAAATTTGAAAAATGTACGCGTTATTAAATCTTTTTTTTTGGGTTTGTTGAGTGGAGATGGACTAAGCCAATAAATTGTTGGCTTATGTGTCCAAAGAAGAACGCGTTTTTAATTCAAAACGTATGCAATTTACACAAGCGGCAACTTGTCGCTGTCACTTCAAAGTCAAATGAATAACAAAAATGTCAACATCAGATGTAGATGACAAAACAACGATAACAATAAAGTGATAGTGATGCCGATCGAGTTGACACACATTTCAACTCCAATGAATAATCAGTTAAATCGAAAATGCTGGAAAATGGTTACATATTTTTAAACAACTTGCGTTAACGACGAAAGTCAAGTTTCACAAACATCTTCATTTGAATTGTGTAAAACTTTCATTGTCGCTCTCGCCGTTATCATTCATTTTGGGTTAATAAAGCAATAAATACGAAGTAGAATTAAGTTTGCTTTAATTTTACAGAAAACTATACCTGCTTGACTAATAAACTAAGATAAAAGAAGATCGTTAAAATTGCTATTTATTTTCAAAAATCATCGATCGAATCAGGGTAATTCTTAAACTTTTGTATGTCTATTTTTATTATAAGCAAAAATTTCTACACTAATCGCATATTTCGATTTTTTGCAAATATTTAGAAATTTTTCGTGTAATGCAAACATTCATTAATCAATTATTTCATAAGATTTTCATATTTACATAAAAAAAATTGTTAATAATTGCCTTTAACGGAAAAAAAAAAGATTTATAATATTAGTATAGGGCATAGTATACTATATATATACATTTTTTTTTCCCACTTCTCATAAATAGGCATTGTATTTTGTATGATTTAAAATAGGCGTTCGTATTACTTTCATCTGAGCTGTTATTGTCACTCCTTTCAAACCTCAAATTTAGAGAAAATTTATGGAAACAATATTTTAGTGTTACCTTCGGACCATAAGACGCACTCATAATTTCTGTCCATTTTTCTATGTATAATCTGAAAAATACGGTGTCTTTGTTGGAAGAAATTTCCAATTTTTATTTACAAGACATTCATTTATTTTCATAATTTTTTGCATAAATAATTTCGCATTCACGTCGTCTTATATCTAAGAAGGAATTTGTTTCATTTTAGTTGATAGAGATTCAATTTTGATTCATGGTAGAGGATTTGCATTTATTGAAAACAACTCTGCCACTTCTGCGCTCTCTTCATTCTCAACAAAAGGGAATTAAATACAAATTATTAAAATATTATTATTATTATATTATTATTATAGTTAGAAGCCAAAAAAACCTTTTTTTGAAGTTTAAAAGGTTGCTTTTTATTGGTTTTTTAACGGAATTTTTGCCGCGGTGACGTAAACACATAAGTACCGGGAATTCTTATTAGGAACCGATGTAAAGGGAAAACCAGATGGCAGCTACCCTTAAATCCCCATATCCTATTATATAAATAATAACCTATAATACAGGATTTTGTACTGAATTCCTTCCTCCCTTCATTTTTTACATTTAAGCTTAAAAATACAATAACAAATAATTATAAATACATAAATTTCATAAAGTTAATGAGAATATTTCTTGAACATTAATTAAATATCCAGATTTAAATACATCAGCACGCTCACTGTTACACCAGATGCCAAAGCCGTTAGATAACCTAAGTGCAGATTACTTCTCTGCTGATGATAACTGTTGAAAGAAGGATTTTGTTTATTAGATCAAGCAGGAATCTTTGATGGCAAAAAACTTACTATAATTTCTTTCGCGGAGAAAACGGTGATGGTGGATTAATACCAGGTAACTTACTGTCTAAATATACCAAATAGTAGGAGAACAATGTTACCGCAAATCCACACAGAAGCGGTCTGAGGTTGACATACTTGCCATCCCAGTTAAGATAACGGTTGTCGCTATTTTCGATATATGATGAGAGGAAATCGGATAGACTATTTGTTTGGAGGAATAGCACTACAATATAATAAGCATGATTAATATTGCTTTTTTTTTTTTTTTGTGCAGATAAGACGTATTTGTAAACTGTTTGAAAAAGGGAAGCAATCTAGTTTTTGGGATTCTATTCGTAACGAAAAAATGTTATAAATTATACATATTCTTGATTGGCGTGAAATTTCGACTAAAAATTTTCCGGCGGGGGTTATATAGATTTTCGCACTCAACTTTCTGCTCTTCAAATCGTCCGAAAGTATACATAGAAAGCTCAGTACATATGCCGCTGAATTAAAATAAAGCGTTTCCGTACTTAAGATTGAAATTGGTCCAAAGGAAAAAAAAGGAAGACACGGTACGTTAGGTACATAAATATTTGAAATTTTCAAATAAAAAGAACACCATAGTAAATGCGTACTAACTATATATATATATATATATATAGGAAGGTTGTATGCTTTTTGGTAAAACGCAGTGGTATGCTAAATAGTATGAGATCATCATCCAATACATTCAATTAAATACTTTGAATATTTTCTTTTTTCTTCACTTCATTAAGTACACAAAAAAAAACGAACAAATTCAAAAGTTACTACATTCGTTAACTTAGTTGGAAAGCGAACAATTTAAAAAATGGCCTTGGCATTGAGAGAAAAAAAAATATGCAGAAAAGTTATCTTTGTTTTAGATATTAAAGTATAAAAAATTACTTACTTGTACTAAAGGTGACACACAAACAGGCACAGCAATATAATATAATCTTTGACCAGCAAGTCAAATAATCCTTCGACTGTTTATTTAACAAATTTCCGTTAGATGAACTACTACCTAGTTTTTGTTGTTGTTGGTGATCTATATGAATATTTTTTTATTTAGATTATTCGCAGTCAGAGCAGTCACACAACTGAATGAAAAGAAGGCATCGATAGAAGCGCTGATTGAATTATTGGCAAAACCATTAGATGCGTGAGCTACAGAAGGTAGACAATTTATTTCCATTTTTGATATAATTATATATATTTTTATTTTTGTTTTATTATTATCAACAGTTATAAACAGAACTTTGGAAATTTCGAAGATTTATATGTACAAGTAGTTCGATTAATGACGTCACAATATAAGTTAATGACATAAAACCAACAACTTATATTTGTATACACGAAACACACTCAATACGTATTTGTACATGTATATAAGCAAACATGTAAATAAATAAGAAACTTGCACAGGTATGCGATAGAATCGATACGAAGGTTTCCTTATGTAGACGTTCCACTCGTCTTTTACGACAAGTTACGACTGATAATTATGCTAAAACCAAGGAAGCCTGGATACATGCCAACTTTGCTATTTGATCCGTAGAATTGCACCTTATTAATCCTTATGAAATTCTCAAACTTTTTAGCCGTAGAAGATAGGTTTGTTCTCCCTCTTATTTGCCTGCTATTGGAATGAAGATAAATCGTTGAAACTTGTAGCACCTATCGTTGGATTTAATACAAATGGCGGGGTTTTGTTTGCCAAAGAATTTTCGAATCTCTCTTCAAAATCTCAAAACACAATCATATTATTTTTCGTAATGTTTTTCTCTTTGGCACTTTAAAAACATATTTCTCAAATCCATTCGAAAGTTGCTATAATTCACATTGTTTACTGGCCTGAATTAGTGAATAATCCATCTCATATATTAATTAATAGGCCAATAGATTTCCAAGTTTAGTACTTGAAGACACTTTCCGAATGAGTACTAAAGTGTTTTTATATATAAATCTTCCTTGGTAAACATAATCGCCATATCGTAAGATAACTGAACCGTTATGGGGGCGTTTCAAAACAGAGGCCAGATCTCAAGATAATTGAATAGTTATGCGGGAGTTTTAAAGCAGAGGGTGAGGAGCACATTTCTTTCTCTAACATCATTGAAACAGTTGGCGGTTGTTTTAGTGCAGCAATCGGACAACATTCTGTCGCAAACCACTCAGACAATCTACGAATCCATTCCGCGGAGAATTGCAACTATTCTATAACCAATATAAATATTATTTATATACCAAGTGTTCATTGCCGATAACGATCAACTTCTTCATGTAATGGCTATCCGACTTAAAACCACTTCGCTTCTCTTTCGAACCCTTCCACCCAAAAGACCATAAATAATAAACAACTCATGCTCTAGAAATTGTGAAAAGAACAGTGTATTTAAACAAAAAAGAACTTAAATTCAATTGGTGCGCTGCACTTAGCGACTGCGCTGCACACAGCGACTTGATGCACGTTCAGAGGTTTATGGAGATGTTGGTCCATCTTATACCAATTGCCGGTTTTTATTTAACGGTTTAAAAGTGGCGACTCGAATTGACTGAAAATGCCATTTCTTGGCCACTTGTTGCAAGAGTTGTCTAAGATACACTGTTGCATTTCGATTAGGAAGTTCTGTCGCACCCAGATCGGTGCAGCATGGTTTTGCTGGTACGCGGCTCCGCAAAAGTGAAGAAGTGCGAAAATGGATCGGTGGGTGGATCGCTGCAAAATCAATATAAATACTCTCAATATGATATCGTCACATTGCCAAAAATATTTTAAAAATTTTACAGAAAATGATGGGAACTATTCTGATTAATTTTCCACAATAAATGTCTTTTTCAAGTAAAAAAGTAATCAAAATTTCTGGAAACACCTAATATTATGTAAATGTTTGTTTATCTTTCCCCTTTTAGTTGATTTAGGAATCTAAACATATGCAGTCGATATCAACTCTGGCAAGTTTTAAAAGTCAATTATCATAGAAAACGTGAATTAATATTTTTAAGAGACATCAAAGAAGCTTTATTTAATTTTATTCCATGAAAATCTGTTGCAGATGTTTAATTTTTAACTCTAATTAAATATTGAAAAATAAAAACATAATATTTTTTTATTTTTTTCGGATGTTGAGTGAGGATGGACACAATTTATGAAGCGATAATAAAAAAGGTGCAACTAATGCCAACCCTGATTTTGTCTTTTAAAGTATAATAATGTTTGTGTATCACTAAAAATACAACTGTCCAAACCAGTTGGCAATAAATCTATAAATTTTCAAGTTCATTTTTAATAATAAGAAACGGTTAAATTATTTCATTTTGTTCTAAAAACCATGTAACTTTGAAGGCAATACTATTTTATAGAAGCAAAGACCTACAAGTTTTACAAGTCATCTTTGAAACAGTAAAAAACTTAAGCTTTTTGTTCTATTGTATCATTATTGATTTTTCATACATTTTTATAAACCATATTTGTTGTTTTTTTTTGGATGTAGAGATAAAATGGAAAAAAAACATATTTAATCACAACAACAAAAACATATTTAGTATTTTATACTATTGATTTATAACTAAAAATTATAAAAGACAACAATTGTCTTATTCATTACATTTGATATTTTGCTACTTCAAGTGGTGCTTAGGAATTGATAAGAAATGAATCACATATAACGTTTATTTTCGTCAACAGAGAAACAAAATGCCAGCACAAGCAGGGGCAGACAAAGTAAACAATTCTTTGTGGTCAGAGGAGCGAAATCCAAATAATCGGCATATATTACCGCCAATAGGCGTTGCCGTTGTTTTAATGACACTGTATTTAGCTGTGCAGCAACATTTTGTGAGTTGTTCCTATCAGTCGAGCAGTAATCTTCCCAGCGAAAACATATGGTCTGACCTGGAAAATGATCTAAAAACGCAACAGCAAAACGGAAATAATCAGAACAGCATTTTAGCCAGACTATTAGAGTACGAGCATATCTGTAAGGATTTGGAGATCTTTACTAAGAAATTTAAAACCACTACACTTGCGAAGGAAACCGCTTTAGAAGATAATGAAAATGTCGAAAATATTGAAAAACATGAATGCGTTGGGACCAAAAAAACAAGCCCAGCAAAAAATAAGCGCAGATCGATTGTTCCTGCAAATAAATCAACAAAATACAAATTTCCGGTTAATACAAAGAAACGGCATGAAAGTAAAAATAAGAACTCAACAGCTGAACCCATAATCTATATGTTCGCTTTGGTTTTTATATATTTATTGCTGAAGGCGGCTTCTGATATTAATCAACACTATAAAACGGTAAATACAAGATGCTGTACAAAAACTTGAATAACAAGATAATTACTCTACTTACAGCAAAATAAAAACGATAAACGTTTGAGACGATGTTCCTTGCAATCGTACGCCCAAAGTCGCCGGTCGACAGCGGATCGTCGTGCTTCAAAAGGTATTACGGTATTTCAATCCAAGTCTGTTTTAACCTAAGCTTTGTTAATCTATGCCAATTAAACTTTTAACTACTGGTTTCTAAATGTCAATGCATTCCTTTTCTAGGTTTCCTTTTATTTTCGACTGATTTTTTTTTTTGAAAAATACAATGTTTATGTGTATATATGAATTAAGAAAGAAGAAAATAAACTCTTTTTTAAAGTAAATTATTATCCATTGCAATATTTGTGAGGTTGTATTTTTTAGAAAAAGAAAGATTTATTATAACTGTCTTAACAAACCTCGCAAAGCACTACCAAGAGTGTTACCTTTTCACGCACATTTTTATACATATGTTTGCCTGGCTGAATAGAAATTTCGATTTGTTTCCTTTGCTCTTTTCCTTCCATATTGGGCAAGGAAAGGTCTTCGCACTTTTTATTTAGCAACTCTATACATCTAATCAAAATTTACTAATCTTTATAGATAAAGTTAAACCAGATATTAGATTTAAATTCAAAATTTAAACCCTATATTAAATGAATTTATATGGGAACAAAGATGAAATTCTAATATTTCATGTGAACTTGTATATAAAGCTGACAGCAAACCGTCAATATCAATGTCTTACAAATTAACAAAAAATTGAGAATTTCTCAATACACTGAATAATTTTCTTTTATATGTGGATTACGGCTTTCTCAAATTCAAATCAAATTTAGTGGAACTAATGTCACACTTCTATAGACTGCAATCTAATTTACGATTTTGTTTACACTTTTTTAAGCAAATTTAAATCTATTTGTATTTGTCTAATTACGTGTATCTTTACATTTTTATATCCATCACCGAAGGACGGGGGGTTTGCTCATTTCGTCAAAATGTTTGCAAAGCCCAGAAGGAAGCTTCGGAGAGCCCACAAAGCATATGTACTCTAGATCAGCACCAAACTCTGAATCCTTGTAAGCATGACCGCCTGTCCGTCTCTGTAAAGTCTGTTGTAAACATTTTCGTGGCCGCAAAAATGACTTCGAATTTGGCAGGAACATTGAAAGTTCTTGCATGCGGGTTGGCATTGAAAATGGGCCAAATCAATCAAGGGGCACCTTGACCTTTATAAAGTGCGGGAAAAAATTTCAAAAACCCCATAAAGTGTACAAATTCTTGGCCAGTTTCAAATTTGCAATGTAACTAAACATATCCGTCTGTTTGTCTATGCATCTGTGGTAAATATTCTCCTGTGAGCGAATACGAAAATATCGCCTAAAAATTTGTAATAGAATTTGAACACGCCTACAACTAGGCCTAAATGCCTATGTTTTTATTTTGAAAATAGAAAAAATGGGCCACGCCCATTCCATATTATAGAGCGTGAAAATTTACTTCTTTTAGTCTTTTTGGCTTTTTAAAGATAACGGTGACGGGTATAAAAGATTCGGTCATAACCGAATATAATTTTCTTACTTGTTATATTTTGATAATAATTTTATAATATATTTGTCGCAAGTTATGAAATAAAAAAAATGCTTTAAAATTCTAAACCTGCATTTGTTTTGCGTTTTTTATATGTGTGTAATCGATATATACATATATATATTTGTATGCATACACATATACCTACTAAATCATCATACTTACTTTTGATAATTCATTCATTAAACTAAAAACATCGTAATGAGGAATAAAGAAATGTACCATTCACGATTGGCGTCCGCCCGTTCCCTATCGGCTGACCATTATCAATTTGGAGAACGTTTGTTCACGGTTACACACATGACTGCATCAGCGTTAAACGATTCGAGTGAGAAACGACAGCCAATCGTATCTGATAGTACTTTACCAAAAAATTGGCAAATTTTGAAGCAAAGTATCAAAAGCGACAGGTTTGCTGTGACGAAACGCACAGGTATATTTATTATGAAAATCAATTCTTGCCATGAACTGTTGTTATGTTTTAGAAATGCCACATTCGGAGACAGGGCCAGTTGGTTTGGCGTTCCAAATGCAAAAGATCACCTCTTCCGCACAGGCTATTACAAGTTTGTCCATTTCCAGGCGACCATCTGTTATTGATTCGCTTGAATTGAACGAATCTAAACGACGTGTACGCATGATTCGTCATTAATTTAAAATTAAGAAATATTCTGACGAAAATCAATGTATAAGAGGGATGGCGACCAATAATGAGATTTTTCTGACTACATAAACAATAATATTTTCATGGGAGATATTAAGAGCAATTTATTCCAGCCATTGTTCTCTAAAAATTGGATCTGTCATTTCAAAAATTTTCCTCCTTCTTTATTCTCTTATTCAAAAAGAGCTTGTACCGATTATTCGAAAGATTATATCGAGTACGGGAACATTTCCATTTGGAAAACTTTTCTTCCTCTTCCTTTTCACTTCCAAAATTTACATATCGAAGGCATAATACAAATTTTTAAATCATATATTTTCGTATATATTGGTAACCGATATATATTTACGTCAGATATTTTATTATCGAAACAATTAACCTTGAACGGGCCGGATGTCAAGGCTCCGAACATATGCTTACATACAAGTAATTAGCATTATTGTGTAGCGAGTAAAAACTTTCTTGTTACTTGTCAAAGTCATTTTAATTAATTAATATTTAGGTTCTTTTACATTTATGGGCAAAATAAGAATTAGTATAAAAGGAGTAAAAGCTCCTGCTACCTCCCCAAGAGAGATGAGAAAGGAAGGAAGAAAATAATGTATTCATAGCAAAATTCGATTTTAACATAACATTTCTAGTTTACAATGGCTGAATGGGACTGCCTGTCACATTAAAAAATGCCAAAATTTTATCTCTCACCTTGTTTATGCGTTTTACTGCCATATATACTTTAAGTTTTCTTAGAATCTAAAATTCATTATAATAAGGGAAAAGAAAGTATAAATGTATATTTTAACAAGTAAGAAAGTTATATTCGGCAGGGGCCGAATCTCGCATATCCACCACAATACTCTTCTCCCTCTCCAACTTCTCTTATTTGATAACCATTTTAAGAAAAAAATTAAATCACCCGATCGCGGAGAATTATAATTGCATGCAATTAAGCCATATATGCTTACCCCAAGAAATACTTTTAATCCTAAATACCCCAAGACCTTATGTATTAAACTTTCATCATAATTAAGATTATAGCTAACACACTTTATCGCATTCTACTCTTCAATTTCTTTCATTTGATAGCTATATCGAATAGATTTAGTAGGATTAAGTTGTGACGTGTGCTTCAATTAATTTGGAACTAACGCGTTTAGCTTTTCGCATTCTACTCTCCAAGTTCTTTTATTTGAGACCCATATCGCTGGTATTATTAAACAAAAATTAATCGCTGTGTGTATCACACTCATTTTAGAATTAACCCATTTTTAGGCAGATAATATAACTTCATTTGAAGAATGTCCCAGAAGAGTTTTAAACATTCTATCCCGTTTGCCTTATGATAAATAAGCATAAAAACTCAAAAAAGTGAAAAAAATGAAATTTGTAATCACTTGTAACCTTGTGCGGGCGTGGCCGATTGGTTCCATTTTCGGACTTAAAGAGTAGACTGTTTCGTAAAGTAAATGTGGAAATTATTAGCCTCTTAAATTACAGATTTTTGTTAAGAAAAACCGCGTTATGTCCAGTTAACGTTCCATTGCGGTCCTCTTTTCTAATCAATCTGGCCCATTTTCAATACCAACTTGCGTGCAAAAATTTGCAATATTTTTACCGCATTTGAAGTCGATGTCTTCATTTTTGCGACGAGCACAGTGCCAACCAAACACCACACAGACGGACAGACGTGATGTAATCAATTCACAATTTCCCGCTAATAAAGAATATATGTACTGCATAGGGTCTCTGAAGCTTCCTTTTGGAGAAAAAAAATTCACCTAAAATATATCACTAATTAAAGTGAAAATATTGCCAAACTACTTAATACCTTCCAACTTACTAATGCGCTATTCGTTAGCAAACCATTGAGGCCATGAGAAATAGGAAAAATGAGGGAGAAAATTTGGAGATTTACTTAAAAAATCTGAACAGGATCTGAACAGAATAAAACAAAAAAACAAACATATCTTTTAGTTATATAAACCAGCCATAGTTTTTTTTTATTATTATTTGTTTTATGAAAAAAAAAAAAAAAACACCAACAGGTATAGAAATATTACAAAAACAAAGCAATTGTTGCTATCCTCCGAATGTCAACCAAGGCAACATTATTTAACCCTTTAGCCTATAACCACTGACAAGTCGGACTCGCGGTAAAGAAACTATATAATAACAGAAAAGGCACGGGTTCGGCTTTTGGTAATGTATTTATGTATGTAATGTAATGTATTAAAATTATTATTTACTCCCGAACATGATTTATTATTTCACTAAACCTTCTGTTTCACCGAAATATATGCATGTCATGCAAAGCATAGATTTTGCGCCAGTTCGAGTGCACGGCCTAATAGCTGGATAGCGTGGCGCTCGACTAATCTTTTTCTTTACCATGGCTCGCGCAATCGGCAAACACTGTGTAGGTCAAAGGGTTAAAACGCCTCCAGGTAGTTTGAGAAATCCTATTGCACATAATAAGTCTAATACAACGCGATATGTACGGATATGTAGGCATAAATGAAATGAATGCCTCCCGAACATTTACATATGACCTGCACAAGAGTCTATTAAAATACTCGTGTGTTTTGTAATTGCCACACCATACAAATATTGATGTCAACATTGCCTTTACTAGTTAAAACATGAAATAAAATTTATTGTAATTTTTTTTTATTTATTGTTAAACTTAAAAAATGTTTAAAAATGTTATGATGGTTTTTTTTGTGTACGATACGAATGCCATCTGGCTTTGGCGAGCGTGTTGTTGTTGTTGTCAAATCTTAATATTTACCAATCTTATGTGTTAATGTATAGGTGTATATATTTGCTATTTACATTATATGTGCTTTTTATTATGATATTTTATAATTTAATGTTTTTTTTTTTTCTTAATAATTATTAAATATATATTAATAAGTAAATTCTAAAAATCAATCAATAATAATTGTTTGTGCTGTAGGATTGATTAATTAATTAAACGCATATATAATATAATTAATTATGAAAAGCATTTAATGAATTTATCTGTTCGTATGTATGTGTCTTAAATACATTTAAATTTTAATTAATTTACATATTAAACTACATAAAAATACATTTTTATACGCGTTTATATAATTACATATCTTTCTTCGTTAATAGAAAAAAAAAAGTAAAAAAAAATTGCTCTTCTTCGACTTGAGGCAAGAATCTAAAAAGTTTATTTTACTGCATTTCGACTTTACTGGTGTTCACCCTGGTGTTAGAGACGGCGAGAAAAACTTTATAATCTTTTGGGAACAAAGTAAAAATTTCATTTACAATATTTTATGTTTTTTGACTGTACTGTAGAACAACATACAATTCTTTTTATTTTTATTATATTAGGCATTTGTAAAAGTTTTGATCACTTCTTCACGCGAAAAACGCACTCATTGTAGAAATTTTGCTACAATATATACTAAGCAATATAGTTACCATCATTTTCTACAACATTTCCGGCAACGTGACGTTATCATGCCGAAAGAAAGAACTTATATTGATTTGGCAGCGATCCACCCATCGAACCCCATTTTCGTACTTCCCCCGCTTGCCAGCCAAGCCACCAATGGACCAATCTAAACAAGGTATCACGTTTGGTGAGTGCTTTAATATTTCTGGTAAGTACGCTAGGTGTGGCGGAATTTCTCTTTCGAGCTGCATCAATGTATCCTGGGCAACTCTTGCATCAAATGGCCAAAAAATGGCATTTTCGCGTGCATTCGCGTCACCACTTTTAAACCATTGAAACCAAAACTGAAAGTTGAAATATGATGGATCAGCATCATCATAAACCTTTGTACGTGTTTGGTGGACTGATTTCTTCAAATGAAGAATAAAAGTTTTGAAATTGGAAGAAGAGGAATTTTGAATGTTCCATGTTACGTACAATGGTATTTCTCATTTCTTCATCATTTTTAGCAGTAAAAGTCGCTGATCAAAATTTTTGCAAACACTTAATAATATTTTTCGTTTTGTTTCCTTATCAAACATTTTCATGCTTCCTATGGATATCCATAGAGGAACATTTTTTAATAACAAGCAAATGCAATTCCAAATGCATTTTCGTTAGAGAGTAGTCGATATTGGTAACCTTCTCTTTACTGACTGTGAAACGAACAGAAATGTGCGAAAAAGGCAGTGAAATGAAAAAGAAAAGCTGCGCATTGATCAAAAACGAATCAATAACACAAACAATGTTACTTGATTTAAAAAAAAAAATTGCTTATAAAATGCGTTAATTTCAAATTTTCTAATTGAGTAAAGATAATTGCTATAATAGATGTCAGACGGAGTTGATCAAGTCGACAGAGAACTCGATTAAAAATATACACGGTTTGGTGAATCCGGCATGGACACCTGTTAGCGTACAAAGAGCGTTCTATTCCTACTTGAAAGCACACATTTCTCAATTTCAATAATTCGGAAAACCAATTATTTATTACGCACGTTATTGTGTTTAACTCAGCTCGTTACCTTGATATAGATCTTCGCAATTTTCTAGTAGTCGTAGTACCGGCGATATATCATATGGGTATAATTGTCGTGAAACTAACCGTGATATTTGTAATCTTAAGCGTATCAATGCGTCCATAGCTTCGTCTAACATATTGGAGCCTAGAGCGTCACAGCTACGTACAAACATAGGCCAATTAGCTCGGATGTACTTAAGAAATCTTAATAAGTAGAGCAAAAAACAAGTTTCATTGCTGACCAATAAGTCCAATAATAAATCAGAGCTATTCGAAACCATTTTAAGGAACTCCAGGAAAGTATAGACGGGATTAAGCATTGAATCCAACGCGGGAAACGTAATGGTCACATCTAACGTGCATACCATTGCCTCAATTAAGTGATCATCTTGATCATCAAATAAATGAATCAAGATTTTACTAAAGTGACACTCGGGATGAAATTCGAGCGTATGCTTTATAAATGATTCGAGCTTAATTAAAACCGCCCGTATGGAATTCTCTATTAGCACCATTTCTTGAAGAGCTGCATAATCCGTCGTATCAATGGATGAATCTGACGAGTCACTGCGTATGGCTTTCACTGTGACAGCTATAGATTTCAATACGAGTAAAACCATTTTTTGAAGTAATGTTTTATCCATTTCTATGACGTCACCAGCACTTAATACACTAGATGTGGCATCACATGAATAGTGCCGCTGCAGAGTACCGTTTTCGTAAATAATAGGCTTTCTTTTGAAACCGATGAACCCAACAACATTTTCAGGATGACGTCGCGGCAACGATTCGAGTATAGGGGAGTCCTTAACATGCGTTACAATTTGACGCGCCAGCACACATGTCTCATCAGGTAACATGTCCTGCAAAGCCAATGTCGATCCATAACATAGAGCCTCATTAAATAGACACAATATTTGCTTATACACTGTACAAGAAAGATTCTGATTGAGCAGCATCTCAAATTTATCGAGTTGAGCGTAGAAGGGCAACGTCTCTACAATAGACAAATTCGCCTTTACCGATATTATATTTTCCCATAATTGTAGAAAATTTAAAATGCAATGTTCGGCATTTTCGATATCCAAATGACTTTCAATGAGAATTGACATATTCTTAACCAAAGCGGGCCATTTGTTTTCCAAAATTTTGATAGTAATGCATTTGAGATGAGTGGTATCGAAACTTTCCGAATCAGTAAGCGTAATCAAGTGGCAGCCTGACAAGGCGGCGGAAGGGAATGCACACTGAGATCCCATGTCCCCATACAAAGTAGCAGTGTTGTGGTATGCATTATACGATGTTGAAGTTTCTGGGCTCTCCCGTGAGCTATTATCCACCAAACTATCTGAAGAACGATAGTGCACGGCGAAATAATTCCTTTCCAGGGTTGGTTGTTGTGTTTGAAAATGCAAATAGCCATGATGGGAATTTAAAAACACGTCTGCACTTCTATTTGCAGCAGCGTTTGAACTACTTGCTTCCATATTAATATGCGTATCCACAATCTCATCTTCTAAAGGATGCAAATCGATATCTTTCCATTCGACAATTCGTTTAATAATTTCCAGGCTAAAGTGCACCTTTTGTACCGCCATATAATCGAGACGATCGAAATTAAATAAATTGTCCACAAGTTTTTTTAACCAATCATCGTCCATATCTTGCTTGGCTATAACCAAAAACGAAGCCAATACTCGACTGGCAAGAAATTGTACATAGGGATTCCGATAGCCAGCTAGCACAATTATTTCATCTATAAGATGATGATCGTTACGTATTAAAGCATCGCAAACGTCCATAATGCGTGCACAAATAAATCCTTTCGAGTTTTGTTTCAAATAAATGTCAAATAGTAACTGCAGATTCGAGAGAAACTGCAGTAATTTGTTCGTCGGCCATTCGTTCAAATTCGCTATACGTTTCTGGCCGTTTGCGTCGAGTGAATAGTGCGATTGAAAAGGTTTTCGTAACATGCGTTCCGAAACACCGCATAAGCATTGTTTCGTCAGAGATTCTTCAAACTCTCGCATATCTTGAGCAGCGCTCAATTCGTCCAATTGTGTGGCGGTCGCATTTCCGGCGTCGACCGTGCAACGGAATTTATTATTTGCGCCATTAACAGGCGTTGAAAGTGTTAACAAATCTGGCAAGCCGACGCGATCAACTTCATCAGAGGCGAATTCTGCCGGACTGCAAATCCCATTATTACTACGTGCTACTTCAAGCTCCACATGTAAATGTTCATGTGGCGGTTGTTTACTTGTTACGGATCCTATTAAATTCTGTGCATTTAGTAGTTGTGTTAGAGATGTTGTTCGCGAGCTGGATGGTGTGATTGTAGGCGAGTTATTAGACGAAGTAGGTGCAGATATTGAATGCGACGATGAGGAAAGCGACGAACAAAGCGGCGGCATTGGATCACCGGTATCCACAATATCAGGCGGTGGAGATGAATTGAATTGGCCATTGATTATTACCGTCGGGGTCAAACAATTTTTCAGATTTTTTCCATTATATGCTTTAGTTTTTTCAATTTTTTGCCTTTTGGTCTGTGGTTGCTCAATGCTAATATTGTTGTTATTGTGGTTACTGTTAATAGACAACACCATCGCATTGGAATAGCTTAAATCTACACGTTGTTGCGTTTGATCTTTTTGCTGTTGCGAAGACATGTTATAACAACGATGCCGTAAAAGAAAGTTAAAAATTATATTGACTGCTTCGGTTCGCAAATTCGTATTTAAGTTATTAACATCCTACATATATATATATATATAGGTTTAACTGGAATGTAAAGGAAAAAAAACGAGCAATTTAACATTATATTCAAATTTGTGTTCAGCGGCAATATGTAATGCTAAGGTGGATAAGGGCTACCAAATACGCATCTACAAGGTTACGTGTGCACTTTAACTCTAGTAACCGTACAGTAGTGCAAGCAACAGTATATACACTTTGTTTTTTTTTTTTTTTTGACAAAAACTTTTCATTTTTAACTTTTATAAATTTATAAAACGCGCTATTTACCTTTTCCTTGAGGCAAGTTTTGTTTTTAATTCTTCCTGTCTTTCAAAATAACAATTGCTCTTATTTACAGTCGCACGAATTCAATTTGGACCGTTGACGTAAAAACTTATCGTTTATGTATTTTTATTTAATATCTTAAATTACTATTTAGCAAAAATTCTCAACGAATTTACTGATTTTAACATGAATTTGAGAATTTTCATCATTTGATTTTTTTAACTTCTTAATTACACATACGCGTCGCCATCTTACTTTTGCTTTTTCTCTCATTACACAATGTCATTTTTCTTTGATTATCGTTTCATTCACTCTTTCGTAAACAAATATTAAAAGATTTAAAAGATTGAACAAAACACAATGAGGCTTTAATTATATTCCCACGTCTATTGGACATATTAAAGGCTATTGGCTTACACAAAATTAAGCTTCGCTTATATTCCAACAATTTAAGCAATTGACACAATAAAAGCCGTGCTTGCTCGGCTTAACATCTCATTTTATAAGAAGACGTTCGAAAAAGTGAATCGATCCAAACTAATTTTATTAGCGTTCGTCCGTGGGTCGAAACATGTTAGTGTACCAAATTTCATCCAAATATCTCAGAAATTGTGATCTGTAGCTTAAACACAAATTTACATACACAGAAATTTACATACAGAAATCGGACGGGCAGACAGGCTTAAAATCATTTCTTGAATCGATCTGCATAATAAAAGTTACGTCTACCTTCAGTCCTTCTGCGTGTTACAAACTTAAGATATCCTATACCACAAATGTTGTAGGGTAAAAATATATGCTAAAACCCTTTTTAGGAAGTTTTTATGAAACAATTTTTAATGAATTTCTGATGATTTGAGTGTCAAGTGAACAAAAGCAAAATTTCTGAGGCAATCAAAAGATTCATGGACATATTACAATTACTTGCAACGCCAAAATTGTCCAAAAAACGCGAGTTTTTAACTTACATTCACTTTAAACATATTAGGGGAACGTTGATGAATACGAAGAGAAGATTCGCTAAAGCATGCACCGAGGGGATTTCAATGAAAAATTGAACTTCGGGAAGTAAGCTCAATTCCGGTTAATGCAATTAGCATTTTAGAAAATAAATAATAAAGACATACGTTGCAAGTCATTTGATAACTGATTTAGAAGTTTGTGACAAAGGTTGTAGCAAACATGGCTCTGATAAGAGCACAGTAAGCAACTTGCATGGCAAGACCATAATTATTTTCGTCGAGAACATCTGCTTTTTTTTTGGCCATAATTAACATTATTTAAAATTACATAAATAATTTTTAAATTTCAAATAAGTCGTTTTTATTTCTTCTTCTACCCTTTTTTTAATTGCCTCTCGCAAAAAGTAGCGCCGTCTTTCCTGAACATCAGCTTGATTGTGTTTATTTACATTAATTTCAGCATTATGTTCAACTGTTATTCCCAGATCCAAAAACGAGACGAACCTCATTGTGTCATTGTGCCCCCATGGCCAAAACTAATTAAATAATTTTAAATGATTTATAAAACTGTGGCAACTACGGCTTCTTCGGTAAGAGAAATGGTCCAAAAAGAAAAGCGATAATAGCCAGCCAGTATCGCTATTGCATGAAGAATTATTATTCCATGGTGCAAAATCATCGTTCCGATATTCTTAAGTCAATTTTATAATTTAAAAATAAGGTGAATAACAAGTATGAGTACCATTTTAGAGAAAATTGCTGCCATTGAAGCAGAGGTTTGTATATTTCAAGTGAATGCACGTGTAAATAAATAGAAGCTAACCTCCACTTTTAGATGGCAAGAACGCAAAAAAATAAAGCCACTTCAGCACATTTGGGTTTATTAAAGGCCAAATTAGCGAAACTGAGGCGTGAGCTGATTTCTCCGAAAGGCGGCGGTGGAGGAGCGGGTGGTGAAGGTGCATTTCTTAAAAATTAACCTCACATAGAATGAAGGGATGTGTGTTGAATGATGTGTGAAATATATTAATAGGTTTCGAAGTGGCTAAAACCGGCGATGCTCGAGTGGGGTTTGTGGGCTTTCCTTCGGTGGGGAAGTCAACTTTACTATCCAATCTTGCCGGTGTTTATTCGGAGGTAGCCGCCTATGAGTTTACAACTTTGACAACGGTGCCAGGATGTATTAAATACAAAGGTGCTAAAATACAAGTAGGTTAAGCTAATAAGAAAGGTCTCGTTCAGATTTTACATAACTGTAACGTGTACACCTAACAGTTACTAGATTTACCTGGTATTATTGAAGGTGCTAAGGATGGCAAAGGTCGCGGTCGACAAGTTATAGCAGTTGCTCGCACGTGCAATTTGATATTTATGGTTTTGGATTGTCTCAAACCTTTGGCCCATAAAAAGTTATTAGAACATGAATTGGAAGGCTTTGGCATACGTTTGAACAAAAAGCCTCCAAATATTTATTTCAAGCGCAAAGATAAGGGAGGTGTTAACTTAAATTGTATGGTTCCTCAGTCCGAATTGGATCCCGAGTTGGTAAAAACTATTTTAGCGGAATATAAAATACACAATGCCGATATAACGTTGCGCTACGACGCCACCAGTGACGACTTTATAGATGTCATTGAAGGCAATCGCATTTATATACCTTGCATATATTTACTGAACAAAATCGATCAAATTTCTATAGAAGAATTGGATGTTATCTATAAGATACCACATTGTGTACCTATTTCAGCACATCATCGTTGGAATTTTGACGATTTGCTTGAAATGATGTGGGATTATTTAAAATTAGTGCGCATGTTAGTACAATCATTTTTTTTAAAAATTAAAAATATTGTTTTATTATATAATTTATATTTTATTATTATAATTTCTAGTTACACTAAACCTAAAGGTCAACTGCCAGATTACAATTCTCCAATTGTGTTGCATAATGAGCGTACTAGCATACAGGATTTCTGCAATAAATTACATCGCTCCATAGCCAAGGAATTTAAATAGTTCGTACCATCAATTTTCTCCATTATTTCTAGCGGTTTTTCACTAATAGCTTGTGTTTTGTTTGTTTTTTCAGTGCGTTGGTTTGGGGCTCTTCAGTAAAGCACCAACCTCAAAAGGTGGGCATTGATCACATACTTAACGATGAGGACGTTGTGCAAATTGTTAAAAAGGTCTAAAAATCTTAACACACTTTATTAATAGTCGTTGTAAATAAATCAAGTGGCATTATTAATCGTCTTGTTGGAAGGAAAAATGTATTAGTTTTTGAAGAACAACCATGACCTTTCACGACGAACAAAACTTTTATGCTCCTCCAATCGCTTTAGCATCTTACTGTAAATACTTCAGAGCAGAAGGGAGCCATCGTTGAACAACTTGATCTTGTAAAGCCCCTTGTCCAAGTTTTGTAAATTTAGCTAACGTAATAAACGATCTTTAAGCTCCGTACGCACGCTGGTTGCATTTTAATGATTTCGACTAAAGAAAAGCAATTTAATCGATTTCTTTTACAAATTCTGTTTGAAATGTTTTTAAACTGAAAATTTCACAAAGGTGATATGGAAGCCAACGATCTTTTCCGTAATCGACTTACTCACATTCTTAGACATTTGTTATCAATGTGCAAAGAATCTAATATTTCATATAATTTTCCTATTTGCTTGGTGGCATCGACTAGAAGGGGGAATCTGACTGCGAAAGTTATGCGGTATTAAAGCACCAAACCGATTAATAGCATCTATAAATTTCGTATTAATGCCGCCTTCGGGATTCAATCTGTGAATTGCAATTTATCAATGGACTGAATTTTCTTCTGACTCAGTTGCCCCAGATGCATTTTCTCCAAATCAAATTCCATCATTAAAGCAATTGCATACATTGGCACGAATAGCATCTCAATTCCAGACACAAATTTGATCTGACAACTTCTTATTCTACTTTTCTGATACATTTACAGTATTACGACCCTATGAAAGGAAAGTGATGAGCAACACTTTAGATTGTGTACAAAGTCACTACTGAGTTAATTTCAATAAAATCAATGCAATCCGAATTTGTAAAGTTGCAGTGAATGTTTTCCATATGCGAAGTTTTTACATCTAAACCTAAACAATCTTCTGAATAAACTTCGTTAGTTGAACGGAGTCAGTTCAACTCTAGATGAATTGAAAAAGGCAACACTTATTTGATTATGTATAAATTTCTCTCAAAATTATATGTTTTTTATTTATTCGGTTTTGTTAATGTTCTGAATGTTTAAAAATTGAAGGAGAACATAAAAATCTATTTAAATTTATTTTTAAAGTAAAAGGTCTTAATGGGAATTTAGAAGATTTTAACGCAACAATGGTAGGAAACATAGTGGACCTATGCGGGGATTTAGGGAAGGGGAAAGGGGATTTAAAGGCCTTGGTTCGATATGAGGCGATGCGACACTTTTTATTATCATTAATAATAATAAATATACAAATGTCTGTTGGATCCACATTTTCTTCAAAAGGGATTGCCTTTACGTTCTTCCAGCATGTAATGTATTCATACGTTTTCTTTTCGCCTCGGGTGACACAGCATTCTGATCGTCTTCGTCTTCATCCTCCTCTTCATCCACGTTATCATCTTCGTATACTTCGTCCTTTCAAATAAATTAAATAATTCGAAAAGGGCAAAAATTCTTACATTTATACTTGAAATGTATATATATATATATATATATATATATATATATATATATATATGTAAATGACTATATATATCGTGAACGTACCATGATTTTTTGATTTATTGTTGGGTAATGGTCGTTGGATGGCGGACGCTTTTCGCCAGCTCTTTGATCGTTGCATCCGCTTCCCGTAGGTTTTAAGGCAACTGAGATTTTCTTAGTTGTGGTTAATGTAGTGGTAATCAAAGAATATGTATCGTAAGGTATATAAATTTTGGTGTTTGGAAAACCTTCCGCGTTTGGTGGTGGTGGTTTAAAATACATTGACGGCAACTGAATGGAGGCCAAAAATCTTTTATTAGGCAACAAATCGCAAGATCCCATTTTAGAGCAAATGATATAATTTGCGAGGTCACAAGCAGCCCACATCTTCTGCAATTTGTAACGATCGAAAATGATTTGATTTGAACATTTGTCTGAAGTATTTCTTATTTTAATATTAATTAACTCAATACACAAATTTTGTATATCGCATCACTCAATAATTCCCCGGTCTGACCATGACGTAGGAACGCCTATAATTTCTAGATAGTACTTGTTCAATGTTTCATGAGATTCCGACAATTAGTTTACAGATATTTTAATAAAGCTATTTTTTGCTTGCTTTGGGCGGATTTCGCCGGCTGACCGCCCGCTTAACTCTGTTTCATAACTTGTCATATATCTCATGAAATCATACTTTTTTACTTCGCCTAAACAGCGCCCTGAAACATCAACACGTTGCTGTCAAAAGTGAGCAAACGCCGCGCTTACCTCGAACAGAGCCATTCTCGCGGACAAGTGTTCATACGCAATAGTAAACATATTTTTAAGGTGTCAACTATGTTATGCAACTATAATTTTTGACCTCTCAGAACGATTTTGTGCATTTTTTTACGTGTTCTGGAAGGCATGCGCTTTTATGCCGACTTTGGACGACCAGAGTCTTGTTGTTCGTCATGTAAGAAGAGGGAGTGGTAGGACCAGAGGGGCGAGCAAAGTTATCACAGAATTCGTTAAAGAATTGCGTGGGCATAGAACAATGGAAGGAACTAGTTCCTCTGAAAATTCTGATAGTGCGCCAAAAATCTGCAGTTGACATTTCACTATTGCACCCAGATATTTGTCCAAGCTGAGAGTACATGTGTATTCCTTTCTACCGTCTGCCAAAGGGTTAAAATTTATTGTAGGAGATCTCTTACGTTCATTGGCAGCACGTCAAGCAACTTTAGCATAGAGTCGATCATCATATGGGCTGTTAGGAATGAGGAGTGTTTGACTTTTTGAAGTATTTTGACTAACGGCGATGGTGAAAATTTTAGCATAATTATCACAGAAACAACCCGACGGAGCGCTAAGCTGTATGATGCTTGACAGTTGCGGATAGTGTTATTAGTATTGTGGATGCTTGTCGTAAGCTGCACCGTTTTTGCTTGATACGGTGATATTGGCATCAGAATTAGATCGCTAAGAATAGAGAATGTGACCGGGGAAGTTTTCGAAGAAAAGATATATTAGATAAATTAGTTGCAGAATGAGGATAAGAGCTCTGGGAGAAAAAGTAGACTTGAGGATTAAGGAAATCTGCAGCGTCTTGTTTAGATTTGACATTTTTTATTTTTTTTACTATAAAAGGACAAAGGACAAAGTATGTTTTGGCATGTAGAAACTGTACCTATGACCGGCGTGCCGACATTTGCTGTACCATACACCGACTTAGTGTACATTGTAACAGGGAAGATAATGCCTGGCGTACAAGTATGCGAAGATAAAACGTTTCTCGAAAAACAAACCAAACCTACTGAATCGCGGGACCTCTACTAGTTTGCTGAAAAAGGCAAATTTGGTTACTTTTTCAAAAATTTCATATCCGATTTAATCCTACCAAAATTCAGGGAAATATAGACCATATAAGGCTTATTAAAAGATTGGCCAGCAACGGGGTGGAAATGGCAATGGAATTTTCCGTGGACGCATCACAGATCATTATATTTACGTCCTTATTAGAAAGAGGAGAGATCGCGATGTTTGAAAACTCGTGGTATGAGTTAGTACCAAGCTCAATTTTTGGCACAAAAACATTCTTCCTAGAATGAATGAAATCTCGATATATGTACTCAATGTACAAAACATGATCCTGGCGATTTCAAGTTCGTCGGCATCAAACGAAATAATACCATAAGTCACTTTGCCAGCCACGGCCATGCAGAGCCAAAGTATTCAAACAACATATATGTAACAAAACAACGAATCGTAGAATAAGAAATCTTGGGTTAAATGATTTTTGTGCCAAATCTAGCTGCACTAGCTGCGCTAAATCGCAAAAAAGCCAAATACCTTTAGAACTTATCCCGCGTTGCATGAAACGTTAAATTTGGAGAAAGGCGTTTTGTATACACCTTAGTTAAATCATGTTGTTCGTGAAGCTGAAATAACATTCTTGGAGAACACGTGGTTTTTAGTCAAACATTGTCTTTATGCTGACGATATTTACGTTCTAATCATCATCATCATCATCATCCTGCAAACTATTGGTGAATATATTTCAAATCAGGTTAATTTTACAGGGAAGAAAATATCAATTCAGAAATTAAAACAGTTGCACAATTGTAGAAAACGCCTATGTCACATGTGGAGAGTGGATTAAAACAGCGTGCGTAAACAGCTTAGCAGTTCAAGGTGAGCAAAACAGAAATGTGTTCGCTGGCTCACGTTTTAAAATAAGCACCGCTCCAAAACACATTGCCTTTACTTAATGAATTCTATTCAAATTAGAGTGAACTTCATAGGGTGCATTGCCTTGAACAATTTTGCTTACGCAAAACTATTGCTTATCTTAGCAAAATGCTTGTTTTAAGCGAATTTAACCATGATCTTGGCATATGTGGCAACAACAGCAAATTTAGCATAAATATCCTGAAAGAGTTTTATCACCAACTGGCGAGGGCCATCATCTATGTTTTTCGAACCGCGTCCAACGCAACTAGCGAGACAATTCGCCCAACATTAGAAAATGAGGTGCACGTGTTAAAAGTCAAAATCATCGGGAAACTCGATGAAAATGTTAAAAAATTTACATGTTGCAAAAGAAATAGTCCTCTCGCGACAATCTGAATTTAAACCATGCTGGATTGTAAATTGTCTTCCGAAAGCTAATCGCCGAAAAAATCACTATTTGGTACGTTCTTTTTATAGACGGTTCTATAAGTGAGGACCTGTGCCTTCCCTGCATGCTGTAGCAAATGCCACAGAACAGATAGCGAGCTATTCTTCTAGTCACAAACCTGATACGCAAAGCTAATATCCATTAATGAGAGATAAAAGACAGCACTGCCCTCTTTGCATGCAAAGAAAAGGTAGAATTAATTTAATGTAACTCTTCAACTTACCAAGTTGCTAGTGTTGCCTTCATTGTCATCTGCGATGTTTAAGCAATGATCTTTCATCATTTCGAGGAGATGCTTGTAAAAGTTGAATGAAAAGGCATCCGGTTTCGACATCAGAGGTTCGAGTATAAAACGCAAACCCTTTTCAATCTGTTTTAGTTGTGCGCGATCTTGATAATTGGTGAAGGAGGGATGATGAACCAAAACCGGTATAGCAAAGGCTAACATAAAGTCAGGTAATATATGCAGCGTCTGGGGATCTGCTGAACTTTCGGGACCTTTGTGTGAATATAAATAGTAGAAACTGAATGTTTTTAGATTAGTTTACATAAACACTTACTTGTCATCGCTAAAGTTTTGAGGTATTCACGCCTTCTATTTACATCTGCCTCAATGAATTGACGTATTTGATCGGTTAATCTATTTAAGTATGCGCAAAAGAGTTTATTACAATTAATAAAATTATAAAAATTTTCTATCAACATTTTACTTTTTATCGGTTTCATAACCTCCCAGAACGTAGTAGCCCATGAAATCTAAAGGCAAACATTTATTAGGCAATCCCTTCCCCAATCCTTTATGCAGTTTGCGAGCAAACATTTCTCGCACTTTGGGCACCGGATCGCACTGCAACAAGCATCAAAATTAATTTATATTAGGAGACCTGAGAGATGTTCAAATATAGCTTAATTACCATTAATTGTGATAAATTGAAATACTGCTCGGCAGTGTACTGATCCCCTACGCCCTTTTGCTCGCAAATTTTCAAAATAGCACACGCCGCCCCCAATCGTAACCACGACTTTTCCGCTGGAGATAAACGATTTTGTTCTAACAAATCACCACGTTGGTTAATAAAGGCGGACAGCATGCGGAATGTTTTCTGCGCGGCATGTTCATCCGTACGCAAGCCCAATAACCAACGGGCCATGGTCTTGAGAGCATCCAATTTGCAAAGAGTATCAGACGGTAATTCATCTTGTTCACACCATTCACCTTCAGGCAATTTGCAATCACGTACTTCTGGTACACCTTGTATCAGTAATTCTTTGACTATACGTCGAGCAATCATATTTTTAATAGGTATGGTAAATGCTTGTGGCATATGATAGGCAATATGACCTAGTGTAACAATTTTGGTGCGCTGATTTTCACAGTTTGGCGTGAGGGAACTGCGTAAAGATTCCACGATCTCATGGAAAATAGGATGTATTGTTGGCGTGGTGGCAGTAACCAGCACTCCTTCTTGACCGTTTAGGGACTGCGTGTTTACGTACACGCAACGTACTGCATGTTTGGCTTGTTTTATAGTTCCATTTAGAGCAAAATCTTTGCAGATGGGTGCTAAGTCCGTCATAATATCTGGATTTACCTCTGATAAAGGCTTATATCGGCCTAAATGTGTGAAAGATTTTAATATAAGAGGTGCTACGTATTCGTGTTCATAACTTAGCAGGGCGATCATATGCCGCAGGGTTTTATCCGTAAAGAAATGAGCGGAAAATATATAAGATAAACACTGAAATTTAAAAAATTAAGTTTTTTGACGGAAATTAAATAATAGAAATTTTCAACTGCCGAAAACTTTAACGATATAACTTACACTTAGCATTTTGAGACCACGTATACCAGCTTCATTCTCCGGTATACCCACCTCTTTTACGAAATCACCTCCCTGCATGCAATCATCAATTAGTCTATGAAGAGACATCATTTAAAATATTGAACATAAGTATAAACGACATGTGTATTTACCCTACTAATGTGCTGATAGATTCTTTATCTACCATTACGGAGGCTACACGTTCAACCAGCATTTTTACAGTTTGGTAATAAAGATTTGTCATAAAAGGTGTACCGAGTTTTTTGATTAGCAAGGACATCGTATCAGCACACTCTTTGCAAGACACATCACGTTTCAATATTATTTCCATATAGCGAAGCAGAACTGGGTCTTTTCGCAAATTCGTACTAAATTTGGTAAGAAACTCAGCCGCTTTCAAAGGATCTGGCAATAGCTTGCAAATGATTGACTGCTTAATGTTAAGTTGATTTTGGATTTTTGGAGTGATTTCTTTTGAATGGTGCAACTTAACCCAGTCGCTCACAGTTTTTCGTGTTTTCATTTGATTTTTTTGCAATTCGATAAAAGCCTTAGAGGCGTTATCATCAAATGTGCCCAATAAATGATATAATTTCTTCATACGTTCTTCCGGACCCAGCTTGTAGGGTATTAAACAGGTTATTAAAAGACGCTCAACAGTTAAACGATCTTCTAGAGTGGGCATGTAATAACCATGCATTACTTTATTCTTAATCCACCCGATCGACAATTTTACTTCCTCTGACAAATCGTTTGCTTCGCATAACGCCTGGCGGTAAATGAATGCCAAACCGCTAATGGCTTCTTTGCGTATTTTAAATTTTTTATCCAAAGTACGTTCCCGTACTATAAACAGCAAATCTTCCGATTCGCAGACTATATTAAATTCACGCTTAGCAGTCTCAACAATAGCCATAACTACCTCATATCGTACATTCTCATCGGAATCATGTTGGCGGGCACGTAAACATTCACTTATATCAGGACGCAAATGAGGCTGATTAATAAGATAATGCATTGAAGATTGAACGCATTTGACACGTATAGCTACGGCAATGTCACAAAAGCGTCCCAATAGCATTCGAAGCAAAGTAGGATATTTTGTAGAAAGATCCGAATTTTTTTCAGAGAACATGCGTGATAACAAGGAGACCACCGCTAAAAGTGAGAATATCACTGAATACAAGAACAATGACTCAATTGTTGAACTAGGCTTACCTAGACGTTCATCTTCATTGGTTGATTTCAATTTACATTCCAACTGCGGGAGCACTCCGCGCAAAATAGACGGCGCTATAACATTTAATTCATAGATTAAATCGTAGATTTTTTCACAAATTTCGTATTTAGTCTCCAAACGATCAATAACCAAAATCTGACTGAAGAACTAGAAGAAGCAATAGAAATATTAGTAATGCTTAAATTTAAAAATTTTCAAACTATTACCATTGAAAGAACAGGCTCAAGAGAATCCTCTGTTTTAACAATAAGCTGTTGTGCCAATTGGTATGCATTTTTATTTTGCGTCTTCCTTGGCTCCACAATATTAATTAATAAAAGATCTAACAAGTCTGTAGTAAAATTATCAGCTTCCGTTATCAGGGGGCTGAGGATATCAATCATAAAGTTTTTCACTTTAACACTGTGATCCTCGCTGAAAAATCAATTGCAATTGTTAATTAATTAGTGTCCGCATTTGTGTAATTTACGCATACTTAATTATTTTAAACATCATACTGAACAGCTGGCAGAATATCTCTTGTGATTTCAGTTCTTCAATTTCAAAACACATGTTAAAAGATTTGACATAGGCCAAATTTTCCAATAAATAGAAATAACGTTTAAATGAAGGATCCTTAGGATCTCTTAGACCATAGAGTTGTTTAATGAAGAATAAGAAAATTGCTTTGATTTGATCTTGCTCCTTATATGGAGCCTCAGGCGCATATACACGTAGCACGTCGGCTACGCAGCAGGCTATAAGTAATTGTACATCTTTTGAAGGGTGTTGTAGAAAACACTCATCCGCCAAATGTAAGGCCAGTGGAATATATTGTTGATATAAACCGTCGTCCTGCCCCATCGCTTGCAAGGCATTGGCCAACGTCTATAATAATATAGGTAAATATGAATCACTTGAGACATAATTCCTACTTTGATATAATTACCTTTAGACGTCTGATAAGTTCATCCGTGCCTAGATCCTCTGTAAGTGGCCTACATTGCGGTGGATATACAATATCCGTCATGATATTGAATTTAAATATTTTTCAATATTAACACTAACTACACAATCACCTAAAGAATAAGAACGAAATTATTAACACTAAAAAATAATATTGTAATTATCTGCTCCATCTTTCTAAATTATTAGGAAATTTTTACCAAACTACATACAAGTAAGAAATATAACATAATAAACACTCCATTACTAATATGAAGTAATTAATTCCACAAAGTTTCTAAATTAAATTTCTAAATTCTCAATTTCATAGTTTTCATTTTCTTTACTCTTTTTAGAAGGAATCTAGTTACTTTTTATTTCTATTTCTGTGTTTTCATGTTTTTATTTTCACTTCGATGGCTCTGCTGCCCTTGGCGTTAGCGTTATTTTATTTGTATTTGGTTTTTGATTTATTATTGCAATCATGCAAATGTGAATTCATTTGTTTTCTATTTTACAGATTCGTATAAAACTAAAGTAATTAATTATGAATTTACAATTTACTTAATTTTTTCCAAACTCTTCTTATAACTTTTCTTTAGCACTTTTATTTCACTTCGTGGCTGTTTCTCGGTTTTCTTCTTTTAGCTTTTCCCGCAAATTTTTGTGTTTTCCGTGATACGATAGTTCATTTAACACCGAACAATTTACGATACAAATTCAATGGATTTACATATGGCATCACGATTAATGTCGCTCGCTGTCATCTATCAAATCTGAAACACAAATTCAGATATGGCAGCACATCTAATTTTCCTTTATAATCATGTAATGCACGAAGTAATTATGTTCTAATTTATTTATTTATTTACATACTTAAGTACTTTTTTAGTACTTTTCAAAAAAAAAAAAAAATACCAAATTGCGGAAGCTGAAAATGTGGCGTAAGTGCACAGAAACATATGGTTGTAATTAAAAGCAGGTAGGCGATAAATATAATAAAGGTTCGAAATCTTTCCTGTAATACAAAATGCATTTTAACAACGGCAAATATAACAAAACGTAAACAAATAATAATATATATTGCGTGTTTGCAGAAATGTTGATTACTTTTTCACTTGAAAAAGGCATTTATTGTGGAAAATTATTGCTAACTCCATTATTTCGTTAGAATGTATTTGAACTTCGAATTTCACACCTTTAAAGAGCAAGTAAATGAGCGACCACTTGTTAGAATATAAATATTGGGAATATTTATTCTCCTTGGTACATCGGCATAGTCTTCATCATTTTTTACAATATTTTGGGCAAAATGGCGATATTATGTCGAAAGAATTTATATTGGTTAGGCAGCGATCCACCCACTAACCCGTTTTCGAACTTCTTCAACTTTGCGGATACACTTTCGAGACGAGCCGTGTTGCACCGATCTGAACAAGAGGTAATCAGGAAGCGCCAAGTCTTTCGAGTATACTAATAATTAGTTTATTGGCCATGGAATAGATTGACTTAATAAAATTACTACTAATTAAAGAAATCTGTCTTAAATTGGCAATAACGGTTACATTTTTGCCTGGCCTACGAATCAGTCTAATTGTGATAAACCGTCAATCACATGGGATGATACTATTAGGTCAACTCTGATTAAGTGCATACAGATGGGCTAAACGATTTCCATTAACGACAGCTTTAATCATATCATATTTTACCCCATTATGACAAAAGCCGAAAGGTTTCTCTTCGATCATGCTCTACGGTTGAGTCTATGGAATGGGGATGTAAGATTTGGGAAACATAGTGACATCATTCAGGTTATATTCTAAGAGGATATTGCGGACAATCCCAAAAAAGTCTTCAAAAAAGCTTTTCGGGATGTAGGCCTCTAGCATCTTGCTGTGGAACTTACTGTTTTTAACTGTTCTTGACATTTAAAACTGTGTCAACAAACAACTTAGCTTTATCGTTGCTTGATAGTCTTAAGATCTTTAAGACCCTTCAACTATTCTATTCCTCCTTTTTCTTCTTCTATCAAAATTTCTACCTCTTGATTGAAGCATATATATACCTTTTGTTACAAATGCCTTTTTGCATCGAATGCGGGTAAAAAGTTTTGTTCTCAAATTTGATTTTGAAGAAGCGAAAAACTCTTTTCCGCTCACTTTCTGTTTTATTGTTTGCATGGAAAACCTGGGTGTGGCCGAAGTTCCTACTCGAGCTGCAACAGTGTGTCCTGGATAACTCTTGCAACAAGTGACCAAAAAATGGCATTTTCAATCAATTCGTATCGCCACTTTCAAATGAAAAATTGATAAAAAATCAATGAGAGGCATGAAGAATTGATAAAACCGTTGATCCCAAAACTGAAATAGAAGTGAGAAAGGTTTCATATTATATAGAAAATAATTCATGGTAGTTGCGTCAAACTGAAATAGAAGTGAGAAAGATTTCATATTGTATAGAAAATAATTCATGGTAGTTGCGTGGAGCTGTAATAGAAGTGAGAAAGATTTCATAGTAAAATCCTAAAACACTAGTATCTAAGATAATGAACGTTAGTCGAACCGACATTTGGGATATAATGGAACAGTATCGCCAAAATTTCTTAAAGGAAACAAGAGAAATAATGAATTTGGAAAAAGGATTTCGATTAGCGTTGGCGTACTCTGAATATATAAATATTATTAAATGGAATATATAGGAATGTAGGAAGAATTCCTCGAATTCAACCGTTATTGACTGATAACTGATATTTCCCATTTTTTCCTGTAGAAGTCGCTGATCAAGATTTTTGCAAGCACTTAATAATAAAAGCGGATGTGTGGTACTATTTAGAGATTCAGTTTCGAAGTTAATTTGAAGATAATTTGATACTTTTGATAAATTGATGACGAGAGTTCATTTAATAATGGTGGTTAAATTAATAGTAGTCTCATAAGCGGTGAGATGTGCACGTGATCTGATTTTTTATAAGATTGTGTGTTGCTTTATAAGATTGTGTGTTGCTCAATGTTTACTTTTAACAGATTCTGCAGTGTTAGAATTAATTAGCGCTTTGCTTTATGTGGATAAGTGACAGAGAAGGCAGACGAGAGATGACGGCAGGATTGTCATTACATTTTCGACGATTAAATACATATGTATATGATAGTTTATTTTCATTCCATTTTCAAAATACATAATTTATTTAAGATTTAATTTTTGGTTTACAAAAAACAAATTTTATTTCGATTCCATATGTTGAGATTCTGGTGACGTATCATTGGAGAGGTAATTATAATGCATGTTACGTTTGCCCGTACGGAAAGGACAACGTGTCATCATTCGGAAAACTAACAACATGGAAGCAGCAAATAAAAGCCAAAATAAATATATCAGCAAAAAAATAAAACGATTCGGTAGCCATAAAACTGTATAGCTGAGGTTGTGATTTTCTGCAAAAAATAAAAAAACTTGTAGCAAAAATAAGAAAGCTTTATTCGCCTTAGGGCGTTTTCTGGATATCCACCACTTAATGGAAAGATCGCGCTTTAGCTGTAAGCAAAAACTCTGAAATTTCTTTGGACAGAAATATTGGCTGAAAATGAATGCCTTTGTGGATTACCGAGGACACATTGAATTTATCGATATCGACTGCCAATCTGCACAATTGAATAAAACATATAAATCCAAGTGTCCATGGTGAATTGGCGAACTTTAATTAGTGTAGAAAGAACTATTTTACTTTGTTTCCTTTTTTGTTCTCGTTTAGTGGTGAATATAAAAACCTTTTGATTATAGCACTTTTGTTTGTTACCTAACACAGCGTAACCTATGCCCATTTTCGTTTTACCCATTCGGTATGAAGCGGTGGGCACCATTATTTCTAGATAGCTATGTTGTTGTTCTTTAATGGCTTTCAAATCAAATTGTCTTACACCAGGCTCATAAAAGTTGACAACTTTTGTATCCGGGTGCGTAAAAATTCGAGATTCATGCCAATGACCGGAAAATATTATGTGAGGATCTAATTCCTTTAGTATGGCCCTTAACAGAGGACCCCCACCAATAAGTATTGGAGCATGTGAAAGACCAATCCGCAAATGCTTAGCATTGTTGCTTCTATCCGGATTTGTAAAGTCTAACAACATACGATTAATTTTGAAAAAGCGCAAATGATTCTCGCCATAATCGAATATATCTTCTTGAGTAAAGGCCTCCTCAAATCTGTGCACATTTAAATTTGATATGTATTCGCCATTTTCACCGCCAATGTCGTTGTCGCCAGGAATGTGGACCCGCTGGTAATACGGGGAGAACAATTTGAACTATGTTTTTATTAATTGATATATTAAAGTGAATGTTGAACGCGCATGACTTACTCGGGGATCATCATCTGTACGATAAATTTGTTGGAAACGTTTGACATAACTTTTAAACTCTTCTGGCGAGGCAACGTTACCCTCATCCATCAAATCTCCGAGGAAGCAAATAATATGGGGTTTTGTAAAAGCCAAGGCTTGTTTAAATGTTTGACGTAAATATCTGAAAGGTCCATTTAAAAAGAAAAAATTACCTTTACCAAATTATGTGCCAACCTGTCTGCATCAAAGCGTGCTAATCCACTATAAAGAGTTTTACTGTAAGTTAAGCCCAGCAACTGCGGATCGGCAATTAACAAAATGCGCGTACAATTACCTGATATTGAAAGATGCACATATGTATATATATATATATTTAAGTATATATAAAGATTAGTATTAAATCTTCTAAGTGGTTATATATATATATCTCTACGGATCGTTACCAACTTTACACCCTATTTGTTGCCATGAGCAGCGATTGACATGGTAGATAATGATTTCGTTGAAGCAAATCAAGATAAATGTTAAGAAAAGAAGACAGCGATGTAACAACCTGCAACAATAATACAGAACACACAAGCTGCACATCTTAACCTAAATAGGAAAATAGAAATTCGCTGGCCCACTTACTTATTGAAAGAACGTAACGACAGCATATCTTGGCAAATTAGCAACAAAAATTAAAACTAAAAAATAAGTACGTCGTTAATAAATCACATAAAACTGATATTTTATTTCCGAGTTAACATTAGTAAGCTCTGTAATGAATACTCTAATTTTGCAACGTAAAGACCATTATCGCGCACTCCCTAGTCAAATATCTGCTATTTTTAATTCAACGGTGGCCCGTTAATTAAATTAAGACGGCAGACACATTCAAACGCACTTTTTGGCGTTATTTGCCACAGGTCTGCATCTGCATCTCTTTGGCGCTTCATTTATATTTCAGATACTTTGAAGATACTTTGGTAAAAGTTTTTATAGTATTCCGTTCAAATATTTATATTTACTGGCACTTTTTATATTTCCTTTATGGAGTAAATAATCGATATGCTGTGATTGTTTATTTATTTGATTTCCTTTCTTTTAATTCTTGTTAAACTTTTTACAAATGTATATAATGAAATGAACTAGTCAAAAAAAGCAAAAATAAAGTGAGTGAACAGCTGTCGAGATTACACAATTAGCATCAAAACGTTGTTCTAATTATACAAAAACAGAGATGTCAAAAAAGTTGTAAAATCTAACCATTTAAAGCATAATGGCAATATCAACTCAACTTCTACACGTTGGAGTTAATGAGCGTGGGTGGGTGCCATATTTGTACTGAGAGATCATTATCGTGCAGCAAAGATTTAGATTCTGTATTTAATATTTTGCAATAAACAAATAAAATATAGATCCGCGTTGAAACAGGCCAATGAGAAAAAATAAAGGCGCAACAACAATGTATATACAAAAATTTGAAGCGTCAAGGTAACCAAATATCGAAAATTAACTTTCGTTCGTGATCAAGCCGATAATTGATAGACGAGTTACGCGTCAATTTTGTTGCTATCGGTCATGTGTGAAGAAAAAAGCCCAAAAAAACTTTCGTTTACATATAATTGTGGCTCTTAAAATCCAAAAAGTAATAGTCAGTTCTGCACTCTGATAAATGAACAGACTAACTATGAATAGATAAATATATTTTTTGTTTTTGATGTATATATATGCATATGTTTATTTATGCATATGTTTATTTCAATTAGGAAATACATTAATTAATGAAAGAGAAATAATAAAAACTTTATAGTGAAAATGTTGTCGCTATGCGTATATATATTTGGTTGTTGCCGAACTTTTTTGCCTAATAAGAGTTGCTGTTGCCTGGTAGTTTTTCCTTTCCTGTTTGCTAGTGAGCAATTTTGCTTGGAATTTATTTTATTTTCAATTTACAGCTGTTTTCTTCCATAAATGTATTTCTAAACAACCCATACTAATGCCAAAGATAAGCTCTTTTGCTTTCGTGTAATTTGATAAGTACGGGAGATTGTTTTTAATAACTGTTTTGCCTACGTGCTTCCAAAAAACCGGTAGTCATCAACCAAGGCTAGATGTTATCAAATACGTGATGTGAAGCCAACCGGAAAACGAAGACACAACTTGACTTTTAGATATGTGATTACTCTTCTGAACAAGGTAGAGTGATGGAATAATTATTCGACTGGTTTACATCATACAATTGCTCTTGTATTTTCATAATGAACTAACAACGGCTTCAAATCTGAAATGAAAAACATTATCATTAATATCGCGAGTAAAATAGATTAAAAAATGTTTAAGCTGTGCCATATTTTAATAAATATTGGCTTTCGTAATAAACGTCAAACCGAACCACAGATAACTATGTGTTTATTTTTACTTGAACTGGAAATTCTCCGATTGAAATTTATTTAATTTTTCACACTTCTCAATAATTGATAATTGAACACGTATGTGTTTACAAATTGCGTTCATCTGAGCGTAACCGTATAAAAATTGCGTCCGTTTGAGAGTAAGCGTATAAAAATTGCGTCCGTTTGAGAGTAAGCGTATAAAAATTGCGTCCGTTTGAGCGTAAGCGTCGACATTTGTTTACACTTCTCAATAATTGAAAGTGTGTTTGTCTCTCTTGCTGGGGCTGAATGAGCGAAAAATAAATAAAGAGCGAGTCACCAATTTTAATAAAAATACTGCTGATAAACAATAATAATTTAAAAATAGGGCTACGTGGTTAGAAGCAATATCGCCCATAAAATTAATTGCTTGCCAAAGCTGAATTGATAACATTACAATTAGAATATTAAGTTAGCAGCAGCTAGCAAAATAATATATTATAGAAAAAATACTTGAATCATTTTACGATTAAATAGGTATACTTTATTATAAACTTCAACACATAAAGACATTTGAAATTAAATTAAAAATTTAAAATGTATTTAAGGTTTATTTACTTTAGCCCTAGTCACAAATTAACTTATGAGAAAAATGGTAATTTACATGAAAATGATCCCTGTCGCATGCAATCATGGCGATAGATCTGTTATGATATGAGCTGTATTTGAAGCACGAGAAAAGTCAAAAATATTCTTTGAACCCAGTAAAATGAACGAGGACGCATACGTTGACTTGTTAGAGATCGGAATTAATTGACTATGCTGAAGAGTTACGTGGTTATAATTAGATGACCCAACAAGACAACGCGCCCATCTATGTCGCACGGTTGACAGAGTAGTTTTACAAATCACTGAAGATAACATATGGCCAGCGATGAGCCACGACCCGATCAGCGATGATTGACGACCTCTTGCAAGGAACTAATACCTGCACTATTGAATTGGAGAAGATTGATATTATCGTTTCGAGAAACATGCGGGCGAGCTAAAAAAAGTCCTTTTTCATAAAGGCAACACAATATCTCAATAATCACGTAACAATTGGAATTAATATTAAGCATAATTTTTGCAGATATAATTATGTTCTACGAAGTAGGTGTGGAATATATGCTTTTTTGTTATAAAAGTTTTGTTATGCTACTTCGAGAGAACTCTCGATTTCAAGAAACTGGCAAGTAAGTCGAATATTTTTCACATCAGTTTTTGTTTAAAGCGCTCCTTAATTCCATCTAGAATAAGTGAAAATATGAAACAGCGTCGGAGAGGTGTTTCATAAAGATTTCAATCCTTTAAAAGTGTTTTATTTAAAACATAATTCTTACTGCACTGTATACTTACTGCGTAGAAAATTCTTTTAGAAAAGAGTTTCGATTTTAATGCCATTCTTGTTTTACAAAATATTTATTGGAACGATAAACTAAGATAGAGAAGAATATTTCACATTATGCTTACAGTGGAAAACATATCCAGGCTTTTTAAGAGAAAAACAAAATTCATATATAAAAAAACGAAAAAATATAAAGAAAACTTTAACATATTTTTTGTAAAATTCACAACACAAATTCGATAAACAATTTTTATATGCACGTGGAAAACCAGCCTGGCCTGGTGTCAGCACCAAGCTACAGCGAACAATGCTTATTATTTTATTATCATCCGCCTGAGTGGCCGAGTAAGCAAGGGTCTCGACTAGCAACTCAATGGTCGTGGGTTCAAATCTCAAGTGCGATAGAGTTTTTATTAAAGCCGAAAGCCTTGGAGGCTAATCCTTTAAGACTTTAGTCTTAGAATTTGTTTTCTGGCTAAATTTATAATAATAATAATATTTTATTATTATTTGAAAGCCTACATCCTTAAGAAAATTATTTAAGTAACCTACATGTCGAAACCAACGCGCCCAATGAAAGTATTTTTACCTTGGAATATTATTTCAATTCATTTACGATGAGACCTGCTAAGCATTTGTGCTACCCTTTATATAACAAACGGCCATAGTATCAAAAGAATGAACCCAGCGGGAGATATATTTGAAAATGGCCTTAACCGTTTACAGCTAATTGTTCAATGAAAATCTTTTATGATCTTGCAGAATCCACAAGTCCACGCAATAACGTATGCGTAATAACGCGTACGCAAAGACGATCTTTTTTCGAGCCGTTGCAGACACCGCCTGACGTCTGGCAAAGGGGCTCGCACCTTTTGTACGGACACTGGACGGTACAGCTTCTCGTTTATTTTTCCGGCCAGTTTTTCGTACTGGCCTTTCATTGCCCTCTCGATGAAAGTTGAAATGTGACGAGTGGTATGGGTCAACGAATACGTTCGCTAAACTAATATATTTCCATGTAATGTGTACCAAGCCAACGATCCAGGGGGCATTACACAATGTAGTACAAGTTTAATTCTTACATAGATCAGGATCAAAAAATAGGCGTAGGTGGTCCAAATTTTGTAGAGTTCATTTTTGTATGAAATTATCAATTTTCACCACAACATATTGAAATTTAAGCTTCTCTAGTCTAAAAAGGATCATTTTCCGTGAAAATTCTTATTAGGGTAATATCTAAAAAGTAGGCTGAGGTGGTCCAAATTTGGTATAGTTCGTTTTATTATGTTAAATTACTATTATGATATAATTTCCATCATGAAGCATTGAAATGTAGACCTTTTTGTCGTACGTAGTTCAGTTTTCGTTATTTGAGAGGGGGTTCAAACCTGCCTCAACCGGTTCATTTTAGAAAGCTGGAATACTACTACTTAGCCACTTTTGTCAAGAAATGTTGAAAATTGAAATTTTTTCCATATAACACCTTTTTAGAATAGCGTGTCATATGGTGAGTAGTCGAAAAAGTGGACCGATTCGAAGCATTTTCAAAAGCGCTCGTCCTTCGGTCAAGACTTGACACGGTACCAAATTTCATCAAAATATCTCAAAAGTTGTGATTTCTAGCTTGAGGAGAAATTTACATGGAATGACATCAGACGGACAGATGGACAGATAGGCCTAGATCCATTTAGACTATGATTGCGGATCGAACGGTATACTAAAAGGTGAATCTATTTTAAACCCTTATGCGTTTTACATACGTCCGCGCTAACTTAATATACCACAATGTACCACAAGTGGTGTAGGGTATAAAAGGACAAAAAAAAAAATGTATTGAAAAGTTTTGGCCATGTTCCGACATTTAAATTAAAACACGAAATCTCTTAGTAAAAATGGTATCCGACGAAGAACGTAGTTGAGGATAGGGATAAAGTGTTCGAAGGTGAACCGTACAAGTTATCATTCCCTGCCGTGTATTGAATACTATGACCGCAGCATAATGCTTCTCAACTAGTTTGCATATTAAATTATTTAGGCCGTTTAGTGACAGGTAATTTTCTTTAGCTTTTATAGAAGTCAGTGAATTGATAACAATTACAATACTGCTCACTAGACCTGTTATCTGCCATTTCCTTTTCAAACCTGTCGAGCGCGCTTATTACGCGTTCTACCGAAAGGCAACGTTCTACAGTGTGCACGCCTGGACTGATTTATCGCAGTTGCAGCATATTCACTATTCAGATCGTAGAGAAATCTGATCGACAGCTAAGATATCTATTTGGAAGATCCCGACAAAGGAAGCGATTGTCAACATGTCATTGGGGAATATTTCTCGATATAGTGTTTAAATGATGGGAGGGAATCACACAGAAGTTGAATCTTTAACATT